CGATTTATATATATTAAGGAAGGCCCGTAAGGCGGATTTAAGAAACCTATTAATATAAGAGGCGCCTTTATCGCTTATAATAATAATTACAACGAATTAAGAATTCGTTAAAATACGCCTAAAAATAATATAGACGAATAAGAATCCTTATTAAAAGAATAATACCCGCCGGATACTAATAAATAGAAGTTTCCGCTATATATTCAATATTACAATTATTTTTTTTATTTCCTTTCCTTCTCTCTAGCTTTTAACTATGTAGGGTAGACTGAAATTGACTAAGACGGCGATAAATCTTTATTAAGGAGGAATCGCGAATTGACTAATAAGTAATTTTAGATTAATTCGGACTATTTACTACCTATACTATTATTTTATAGTCTTCTTTCTTATTTATTCTACTATGATATTAAGCAAGGCTATTGGCTATATGCCCCGACCATTTTTCATTTATATATACCTAGTATAATAATTGTGACGATCATTAATTGGGGAGGGGGCATTATAAGATATTAACCCTACCTTAGTTGGGACGACCGATAACCGGCAGGCAAGACATGCCAGCGGACCCAGGCAGGGCATAAAACCCAACCTGGGGAAAGCCTCGACGTAGATTTAGATTCTTAGCCAGAGACAATAACAATTATATCATTTGCATGCCTGCAAGCCGTTCATCTCACAAACTATCTATTTAACTCTAATAACGCTACTTATCTCGTTATTAACCGTCGCTAATATTGTATAAAAAAAGTAACTACCAATATCCTTCGGTTAATAAAATAGCCAAAAACTTCCTTATTAAATATTATATCTACTATCTATAACGAATACCCTAGTATTACTATTATTTAATACAATATATTTAATATATTAATAGTTAATAAAGGGAAGGAAGTAAGTACCTTTATACCTATACAATAATTTTTTAATAAATTATAATTAATAAAAAGTATTTTTAAAGAAATCTACTGTTATAATAATAAGGAGTTTAAACTTATTAAAAAAATCTTCTAGACTTACCCTTAATATATTAAATAATTAAAGAAAAATCCTAAGGTTATAAATTTAGACTACATATATAAAGTCAATAAATTCAACATACCTCTCCTTCAAATATATAATATAACGGCCATACACACAACTTTCAATATCGGTTATTACTTATTTAGTAAGGAGAAGGAAGTATACTTTATATAGGTATTTAAGTAAATCGAAGCTATATTAACAATGTATAGTATCCCCCAACCTCTAATTATCATTATAAATTATAATAAAACTTATAAAAAGGCTTACCGGACAATCTTCCCTATTACCCAATACCAAATCTATTTCTGGTACGTAATAAAGAATATTGCCTTTAATATTAGGAAGAAATAGAAGGGTAATTTTAATAATACATCCCTTAATAATAAAGGAAATAATAGGAATTACCTTCGTAAAAACTACTAAATAAATATTAACCCTGCTAATAAAAACTTTATTGCCCGTTAAATCGCTATGTAATTATTAAATAAAAACGATTATAACTATTATTTAAAATTAAAGACCAAAAATCCCTTTATTTAACTAATTAATAATCGTACTCCTAAGGGGTTAAACTATAAATAAATTAATAATATAGATAGGATTTTAATTACTTAAAAGGCAGTTATTTACTCTAATATAAAAAAAGAATTCTATAAGCAATAGAAAGTAGTATTAAGAGAATTCTCCAAATAAAAAGGTATAATTATTATATCTATCTATTATTATTTATATAATTACTAATATTTCTTTTTACAATTATAACTAATTACTTCCACTTCGTCTACCTCCTATTAAAATATAAATTCACCTATTTTACTATTAGATTATACCGCAATTTTAATATAAGAGTAACCTCCCGTATAGAGGGTGCCTATAGTATATTAAAAGCGCTGCTCAAGAACCGCTATATTAATTTAAACTAACTACTAGGAATTATTATAAAAACTCTTAAACAATTAAAGGAGAACTTCGTTATTAAATATACGTACCAAATCTCAAAAGACGTGGCGAAGTATAGATATACTATACTAATAAATTTAAAGTTTATTACTAACTTTATTACCTTTAAGTTATTTTAAAAGTAAATTCAATTAGTTAGTAATAATATTAAACTGTAAATAGGGTAATGTAATATAGCGGATCTAAAAGTAAAGTGCTCTACTTACTTTATAAAGTAATATAATTTACCCTACTAATACGTATTATTCAATATTATAAAATTTAATAGTACTATACCTTAAAATTTAGTCGATAAATATTAATTATTCAAACTAGATATAGTAAATAAATATCCCTCTATTAATTTATCTATTTACCTTACTAACTATACTTTTATAACTATTATTTACAAATTAACTGGTACTACACAGGGAGAAAAACCCCCTCCTAATTATTATAAATTAATAGAAGGCTTGTAATAATACCTAACCTATACCCGTACTCTCTTAAGCCGCCTTATTAAACGTTCAATATAATCCGTCGTATAATACCCTCCCTAAGGTTTCAATACAACCTCCTCCTAAGAAAAAGAGGATAATAAAAATATTACTAGTTAATTAAAAAGAGTAAAAAACGAAGGCGGTAGCCGAAAGTACAAAACTAAAAACAAAGAAATTAAAAATATAATTCCAAGAATTAAAGGAATTATAATAAAGAGAAGCACAGTTAGAGGCACGGTTGCGGGAACTCTCGAATTAACAATAAGCTCGACCGCCGCCGCTATTACTAATATACTATAAGTATTAATAATAATAATATTACTAACCTACCTACTAATTAATAATACCGCTTCCTCCTTTACAATAACAATTATATTTAAATCCTTACTAACCGCTACCATCTAGCCAACAATAATCTTAATAGTTATACTAATTCTCCCAATTAAACTAATAGTATCAATACTAATAAATCTATAATTATACTACTATAAATATAAACTCTACGATTTCAGTATTTTTACGTAAATTAGCATTTTAGAAAGCCTCGTCTGTATAAATCCCTATGCAATTTTAGTGTGGATGTTGCATATATGTTATTTTAGTAGAGATTTGGCGGGCGAGAATATAGGTGTATCATTGGCCAGGCGGCCCCCACACCGCCGAAATATCATAGCACACAGTCGATTTATCCGGGTCTAAATTCAAGTATCTGCATGAGTGCAGATATAAAGGTGGATAAAATACGGCCAACCAATTGGCTACTTTTGGGTCTTGGCAAAAATGATACATTTGAGCAGTTAAAGGGATGCTAAGGCATATATGTGTGTTGTTGTGGTAACATTGCACTTAATACCATGAACGTGAGGTTGGTCCCTTTTAGTGTTACCTCTAGCGATGCCCTTCTTAAGCGAGTGTTAGTAGCAACCATTCAGTATACACGACACCTAGTAGCACACTTCAGGAACTGTTTGCCCGTCGCGGTGTCCCCTCGCTACGCCTTGCATCCTCGAAAAGTGTCAGCTGAATGTTTGACACTAATCATTATTCAGCTTCATCTGTAGCCCTAAGCAGCCATCCAATCCATTCCAGGCCACGATCAAGTGAACGATTAAATGATTACTGAACTAATCGCCCACCCAGCAACTTCACTACCTAGAGGTACCTACTAGCGTACCTAGATGCTTGGCGCGCTTGTCTCGACAACTGAGGTGATGTCATGGCTCATTCTCGGATTCCAATTTGGCAGTCATGGCGAACTGGCGGACGTTGAGCTTACCAACGCAGGATATTCGACGCCGATTTTTCAAAGTTTGAAACGTCGCTGCCTGGCTTAAACCTTCTTTTCCCTTGGGGCTGTTGCATTCTGCTCCATTTTTACTGCTGCGGTGCTAGCGAGGGCTCCCGCGCTCGATAAACTTCCCAAAGACCCGAGAGGACCCTAATCCCGCCTACGATGAGCGATGAAGGGGATCGAGTGACACTCACTCATCACTTGCCTTCAACGCCGCGCGGGTTGGCTGGCTGGTAACAGAAAGAAGCCGCCCTCAGCCATGCGAAACATCATTTCCATTTCTCCGTGTCATGGTCATATACCTCAGACATAAGCGGCATCTACACATGCTTGATAACAGTCAGCCACGTCCCCCGTCCGGATATGTCCGTCCTCTCTATCTCATAGAGTAGACATACTGAACATGAGGAAGTCATAATGTAGGTAAAGTTCAGTCATGCCGAATGCAGACCGCTAAGTCGGATTCGCCCCCCTTGTCTTCTACAGGGAGCAGTTGCTGATGGTGTCGAAGTAGATGTCGTCGTCCCTGACCCCGGCCAAGTGGTTCAAAGGGTATATGTCATGCAGAGACAGGTCCCACGGGTCCCTCAGCCCTATGACAGCCTCGTGTTCCCGATTCTGGCCGCGGGGGCTGCAGCCGGCTTGGTCTGGATGCGCGTTCTTACACCGACATTTATGGGTATCCGAGTATCTGGTCTCTCGTCTCTTGAAACGTTACGGCCTAACTACTTGACAATTGTGGCTATCTGTGAATCATGTTGCTTACTCCCTTGATGGTATTAGACCACAGCATTTTTCCGTGGAAGATTCGAAGCTGTGGATGAACATGAATGTCATGTTGGATCGATCGTGAATATGGCAAGTGGATGATGGCCTCGTAGGGTAATTGGATCCTTGTTCTATGAGTGCGGAAAGGAGGGCGGCAGATCTGGCTAGGTTAGAGATCTCACTTTGGTTCCGTTGATGAACCAGAGGAGATACTAGAGCAAGTCATGCTTAAGGTCTACATGGTGCAGTGAATAACAAGCTCATTTACTGTACAGAAATGGCCATCATACTGCCATCAAGTCGCAGAGTAACATGTTACTCTTCATGGTTGCTGCGCCTTGCTACGTTGACTCAAAACTTTGACAATGTTTCAACTCAACGACATTCACCGAGGTTCGCAACCAAGCCTTGACCATACTACGCATAAAATGACATGGCAACGTAGTCTGAAGGTACTTGTAGGTTATCTATTCGACATGTCTAGGGATGAAGTTTGGAAGAATCTGGAAGAAAACTCGATGATGCTCGAAATCTACAGTAGCTGGGAACTTGCGGAGTACCTGAAGCCCGCGCACATCACATAACCGCCACCTCAGTAATTGGTGACGATATGAAAACAGTCAATTACGTCCTATTCTATCAGTCCACCACAAACGGCCCAAGCGATGTTGTGAGGCTGTGATGCAATCTTCATCGGTCGAGTAAGGTATGGCTTGGATTCGTTGATGAAGAGTATTAACCGTGACATATCAAAAATAGCCTATCTAAATAGTGGCAATTCCAAGACACCAGCCAACAGACCTGCAACCTGCACCTGCACATAAATTATTCATCACGATCATCAAATGTAGACTACAACACTGACTAGTTGCTGACCGTGAATCCTAGTGTTCTTTGTAGATTGTGCCCTTCAAAAAGGGATGCGCTCCAGCGAAAGTACCGTACAGTCTCTCGAAATTGACTTTCGGGTAATCAGTTTTTACGAAGGCATGAGTAGGTAGGGTTGAAAGTGAAAAGAAGCAGTATAGTTGAACCCTGCTTATGTCTGCGTAGAAAGTGATTACCTGAAGTCCATTTCTCGAGATTATACGGCATGTCGTGCCAGCTTGTGTGTCGCTGACTAACCCGTTCTCCAGCTTTCGTCCGCGCTCTCCGCCGTTCTCACGCCCACGCCTACGCCCATCATCATCGTCGCTTAGCCCCGAAGCATGGCATACGCTGTACGAAGTACCTTTGTGATATTGTCATTCTGAATCTTGCATCCATCGCCAAAAGTACATAACCACAAATCTTGATGCCTGGGAAAGGGCTGGGCTATGATGCAAATCACGAATCGATTTCAAATTCGGCTTGACCGGGTTATCTTGAGGCTCTTGGGGATACGATGGATCTGTTTGCTTAAAGGGAAAGCAAAGTTTGCAACTTTCCGAGTCCCGAGATGCTGCAGTTTGTGTTTGTGTTTGTTCAAGCAATTCGATTTCGGGTCCTTCCACCGAGCAGCCATCCAAGACACCCTTACCCTTGCCAAGACCCTGCCAAGCCATACGCCAAGCCGGGAAAAACTGGTACAGAAGCTGTACAGAAGCCGTCACGGGGCTGTCGCCCAAAAATAAATGTCCGAATCTCAGCGCCAGCAGGAGCCAGCACAGGCCACACAGCAACCCCTGAAACGTACATTTCACGGTATGTGTAAACAATAACCCCTAGTCCAAACCCCACCAGGGCCATCATATAGTCTTCTAACCATCAAGAACACTTGAGCCAGGTTGTTTGACATGTCGAAAGAGAAAAGTCCGGTGCAAAGGAGGCGATCCCTGCCAAAACTGCGCTCGCATGAACATCACCTGCCACAGTTCGTTTGACACCAACCTTCGCATCCGCGTGTCAACACCGACAGGTCAGAGGGATGTAGACGTAGGGGCCACATCCAGCCGGTCGTCCAGACCAACGCCTCCAAATCAACAGCAGTCCCCGCCCCAGCACCAGCACCAATACCAACACCAGCAGCAGCAACCAGCCCAATATCAACCAGAGCCCATGCCGGCATTCATGACCTTTGACGGACACAGCCAGTCCTTCCTCCCCGAAGACCCCAACCACTTTGCCGGGTATCCAACGTCTGCGACCATCGGTGGACCGTCCACTTCATACGCTCCAGTCCCCCCCGTGACCCATGTAAACTTTGACATGGCATCGGCATCGGTATCGATTGCCAGCTCGAGTACCACCGGGATTCCGGATATGGCCCAGCTCCAGTATCAGCAGTATCCGGATGCTGCCGCTTGGGAATATGACTACCCTTATGACCCGAACGACCCCAACAACCTTGGCTATGACTATGACGCCGCGATGGACATGAGCATGCAAGCTCTCCTACCCGACGACATGCAGCATAGTCATCAGGATGCTGGTGGGTGGTACGGATATCCGGCGCAGGGACCGTCGGGCCAGCAACAGAATTGGCGGTAATGTGGGCGCTCTTCTGAATGGACTGGTTCTCTGCTTGATCCCAGAGGACCAGTTTCGAACCTGATGCTCTAACATGGGGAATACCAACTTGCTGGCTGGTTCACTTGCATGAGCTAGGCCTTTTGGATTGGCTCTTTGGCTTTGATACTGTTTGGTCGATAGAGATCCTAAAATGGGGGAACACAGGGAGTATACTCAATAGAAGCGTGCAGACAACAAAAAGGCAGGTGAAGGACAGCGATGCGAGAATGATTACATAGATGAGAGATGAGATACATGAGACCGCAAAGGGAAAACCGGACGAAAGCAATGTGGAGTATTTGATGGGAAAGATTCAGGGACATGTACATATTGTCAATGGATAATGATAAACACCATACTCACTTGTTGCAGCCTTGTGCGCAACGTTCTCGGATGGTGGGTGAGAATGAGTCGTGAAAGTTAGAAATGTATCAACTCGAGTTGGGGCCACGAAACCCTGGACCGTTTCGGCCTCCATGTACCGATGAGCGCGGCGTCGTGGCTTTGGATGAAAGATGCTTGAACGGGTGAAATGAGTATGTTATCTTTGATGTCGGCAGACCTTGGGCATCAGGTTCAACGTGAAGATTAAGGCCCCGAGCTGTCTCGCGCTGCCTCGGTATGACAGATTGGAGATGGTCCATGTTCTTGCTGATTTCATTGCGACTTGGATGAGGTTTGTGACGAACGCTGAGTCGTCGAGTCGCCCGCTGTTGAGTCACATGAAAATATCGTCCTATCGGGGATATGCTCCTTGACTGCTCTGGCCGTGCACTTTGGACCCCTGGCGTACCTGATACCAAACCTCCCGTCCACACCCCACTCTCCCCTCCAAGACCCGACCTGCCCTGCGCCTGCCAGCGCCAGGTGGGCTGGGCCCGCCGAAATAATTCTGCCCCGCCAATTCGGTGTTTCCTCTCCCGTCAAGGTTCGCGACACCACTACACCATTGTCACTTCTGTCTCCAGCCCTATACTATACTGCCAATCCCAGGACGAGCCTTGAATAGCTTCGTAGCCCCCAAGGATCCGTAAACATGCTCGACGTCAACGATTTCAGTACGGCACCCTCGCATATGTCTCTCCACACTTCCTGCGCCAATTCGCATGCCCAAGGCGCATTCCCGTCTCCAAAGCACATGTCGCCCCTCGCCGCCTTTGCCCAACTTGCTAATCTATGGAAATTGAACAGTTGCTGAGCGCGGCGGCAACCCCGAAAAGATCCGGGAAAGCCAGCGTAAGCGCTTTGCTCCCGTCGAGGTCGTCGACGAGGTCATTGCTCTCTGGGACGATCACCGCAAGAGTATGTGCTGCCTGTCCTGTGCCCTCGCTGCCCTGCAAACGACCAAAAGGAACTCCGTCTGATCTGATCTCCTCCGTGTGTTGATAGCCGCCTACTCTGCCATGCAGCTCAACGCCAAGATCAACGAAGTCCAGAAGCAGATTGCCCCCAAGAAGAAGGCATATAACCCATATCCGTTCACGACGACTGTTCCACGACTAGCTCTAACACTACTGCGCTCGTAGGCCAAGGAGGATGTCAGCGATCTCTTGAAGCAAAAGGCCGACCTCGAGAAGGAGAAGAAGGATCTCCTTGACTCCGCCGCCGAGAAGGAGAAGCTTCTCAAGGTGTGTGCTCCAAATACCACCCGTCTTAAAGCCTTGTTTCGACAGCTAACACATTGTAGGTCAAGGTCAAGACCATCGGCAACCTCGTTCACGACTCCGTCCCCGTCTCCAACAACGAGGTTAATATTACCCAGCAACACGACCTCTCTTCTAATCGAATGAATGCCTGACAAGGATACAGGATAACAACACTGTTGAGCGCACCTGGGCTCCCGAGGGTGTCACCTTCGAGAAGAAGGATGTTCTCTCCCGTTAGTTCGCCCCAGCAAACACTCAAACATACAAAGCGAGGCTGACAAGGCCGGGTATCTAGACCACGAGGTTCTCAGGAAATTGGATGGCTATGACCCCGAGCGTGGTGTCAAAGTTGTTGGCCACCGCGGCTACTTCCTGAAGAAGTGGGGTGTTTTCCTCAACCAGTAAGCCATTTCTAACTCGGGTCACCTTTTGGCATACGGACATATGCTGACATGGCTGTAGGGCCATCATCAACTACGGCCTCGAGTTCCTGTCCGAGAGAGAGTACACTCCTCTCCAGACTCCCCAGCTCATGCTCAGGGACCAGATGGCCAAGACCGCCCAGCTTTCCCAGTTCGACGAGGAGCTCTACAAGGTTACCGGTGACCAGGCCGACAAGTACCTGATTGCTGTGAGTGGCTTCAGTCCCCTTTGTGACTGATATGACTACGAAGATGCTGATCTCTGTGTGTGACAGACCTCCGAGCAGCCGATCAGCGCCTTCCACAGTGACGAGTGGCTTCAGGCCAAGGACCTTCCCCTGAAGTACGCTGGTTATTCCACCTGCTTCCGCAAGGAGGCCGGTGCTCACGGCAAGGATGTCTGGGGTATTTTCCGTGTCCACGAGTTCACCAAGGTCGAGCAGTTCTGCATTACCGAGCCCGAGAAGTATGGTTTTTTTTTTTTTTTTTCTCCGCAATTTTCCCAGTTACGTTTGACAGACAGTTGTACTTACAAAAACATCACGACAATAGGTCTTGGGAGATGTTCGAGCACATGATCTCCAACTCGGAGGCTTTCTACCAGTCCCTCGGCATCCCCTACCGTGTTGTTGCTATCGTCTCCGGCGCTCTCAACAACGCTGCCGCCAAGAAGCTTGATCTCGAGGCTTGGTTCCCTCACCAGGGTGAATTTAAGGAGCTAGTCTCCTGCTCGTAAGTTTAAATTTTTTTTTTTTTTCATTTTTTTTTTTTTTCCACCTATAGTCAACACCCTACAACAAGAACCCAAGTAGAGATTATCATTAACCTGTGACAACAGCAACTGCACCGACTACCAATCCCGAGACCTCGAGATCCGCTTCGGCGTCAAGAAGCAGACCGATATCAAGAAGACCTACGTCCACTGCCTCAACTCCACCCTTACCGCCACCACCCGCACCATCTGCGCCATCCTCGAGAACTTCCAGACTCCCGAGGGTGTCAAGGTTCCTGAGCCTCTGCGCAAGTACCTCCCTGGTGCTCCCGAGTTCATTCCTTTTGCCCCCGAACCGGTCAAGGAGGTTAAAGAGGGCAAGAGCGGCAAGAAGGGTGAGGCTGCCCCCAAGAAGGCGGAGGCTCTTCCTGTTCGCCAATAGGAGGATATTTGTGGTAATTAGGTTGAATTAGGTTTAGGTTGTCCGTGTGATCTCGATTGAATCATTTGATACCAGTTCAATGCGGTTGTTGGTGTCATGTTTATGAAGGTGTGAAGATGTTGGTAGTCATGTTGATGAGAGGGGTTTGTGCATATGTGGCAGTGTGAAGTACGTTGAAAGTGATGTCGTTCGAGAACTCATATTGGGAAGTAGGCGTAATGATTCACAAAATATTTTCTAGTGGCTCGGTCCATATGTACGTGAAGTAGTTCAACGGTCTTGCATATCGCGATATACGTACGCCCGTTCTCAATGACAATCCACAAGGGCAGTTACATACGTTGGGCCAAGTATAGAGAACATGCGTACTATACCACGAACAAGCATAGTTCGCAACTATGCTATCGACTATGCCCTTCAAAAGCCTTACTATAATATAAGCAACAATGCCCGTCGTTCATTGGCTTCTTGATCTCATATAGACAAGGTCAACTTTCTTCAAATCCCATCAAAACCTTATTAAGGAGAAATGATACCCGCCGCCTCTCCCGATTCAAGCCCCAACCAATCATTCCCCAATCACATCGATGCCGTCTTGCCGCCAAATGATGTGAACACATGAACAAGGTATAGTGTCAAGATCCCCTCTCTATATCCACAAGCCGAGTTGAGTCTCGTTTATATCTAACACCGAGTGTAACTCAACAAACAAGGAAAAGAAAAAGAAAAAAAATTGAAAAAAGAAAAGACCACGATAAAGCCAAAAGAGAAAAAGCACCTGACTTCTCTCCTGCGCGCCAGTGCTTCCCGCGAAAAATAGAAACAAGGTCGTGAAAATTGCGTGTTGTCCGGTGATGGAGTAGGCGGCCAAGAAAGCTCCGTTTGCGGTAGGACTAGGCTGGATACCTCAAACCATTGTTTGGTAAAAGGAATCTGCTCTCCCTTTCGAGATGTACCGAATCTAATACCCTTTTCGTGGGTGAAGAATATAAGCCAAGGACAGCTGTTCAACGCCTTGGTGACGTCTGTCCGTACCGTGCTGCATGGGGGCTGCCACACCACCATGTGCTGTCATGAACCATGGGCAAGATGTGCTGCAAATAACGACCGTATATAACTTGAGGAGGTCTGTGGTGGTCGTGTCGTCTTTTTTTGTTTTCATGTATGCATGAAAACCCCTGATCTGTGTCTGTCATGGAGCTTGCCATCGCTCGAAAGAAGATCCGACATTTGAGCGCGCCACTGCTCATGAGAGATATTGATGGTCATCTCTCCCTACTGACGGTGAAGACAGAGTCACGTTGACTGTCTTACATGACCACGCACTTTCCGTTCTCGTTGGTCGCGGTGGGGTTATTTGACTTCTCAACCTCGCCGATGAGAAGCTCAAATGCTCTGGCGACGTTCTCGTTATAGCGAGCACTAGCCTCAGTCCAGGCGCATTTGTATTTCTCAGCGAGAGCCTTGCCGTCCTCGGGAGTGACCTGGCGCTGTTCAGGACGGAGATCACTCTTGTTGCCGACGATACAGATGGGTACGTTGTCGGTACCCTGTTGAAGTCAGTAACACAATCATGGAAATTATTCAAGACGAAGTCTGGATGGACAAGACGCTGCTTACCAGATGGTTGAGAATCTTATCACGGATAACCTGGACCATTTCAAAGGATGCCAGTGAAGAAACGGAGTAGACCAGCATGTAGCCGTGGATGCCGATGAAATGCTTGCTATTCAAAATCGAATATTCATCCTGTTTGAGTGCTCGTGTCAGTAAACTGTGTCGCCCTGGTGAAATTCACATCATTTGGGTAAGGTGGGAAAGGTGTGAGAAAAAAAATCGTACCTGGCCCGCTGTGTCGACGATCTCGGTTGAGTAATCCTGGTTCTTCCACCTGATTTCCTTTGAGAAAGTATTCTCGATGGTGGGATAGTAGGATTCGACAAAGTGCCCATCCACAAAGCGCACAGCGAGTGAAGATTTGCCTATAACTTTGGTTAGTGCCTGTTGCTCCTCTTTTACTTCTGTCTTGCTTTGCAGTCAAGCCGCAAGAAGGCCAGACAGATTGCCTGCGATCCTCACTTCGCGAACGTGTAAACTGTGTGCAAGAGTGAGAGCAGAGTGACAACACCCGAGTTGTGTATTGGAAAATACTTCGTGCGATGGAAGGAAGGATAGAAGGAGGGTGAACTTACCAACGGAGCGACTACCTACGATGGCGATCTTCCGCTGCTTTGTGGCGGGGGACGGCATTGCGAATGAACGTCAACTGACGTGAGGCTGGAGTTTGGGAACTTAGACTGTGAATCTATATATATATATATACGTATGCGACCGGTTCAAGGGTCGTTACGTGTGTATTGTAGCTGGGAGAAGACCTCTGGGTGAGATGGAGTGGTGGTGTGAGATAGTAAGATAAGTGAAGGTTGGAAGTGTGGAAAATTGAAGGTAAATGTGAGTGGGATGCGGTCCAAGTTCAGAAGAAAAACAATTTGTCGTTTTGAATGGCCTGGTAGGCGGGCGACAGCGGAGTTGTACCGGCTCGTAACAACATTGAGAGCTTGTGAACCAGACAAGGAAAGAGCGCCCCTGCCCTGCCACCCACAAGTTTGGGGCCAGAGTCTAGGCTATTTGCGGTAGTAGTGTAGCTTGGTGAGGCAGGTACGTACTGTTCCCTCTCGAAACCGGTACGGAGTTCTGGGGTTTGGGAGGAAAGAACGTCCGGCAAACCCGCTGCGTAGTGTGAGAAGAATGCCCCTGTTTCTAGGCCAAGTGGAAGGCAAGGCCGGAACCGTTCTTCAAGTCCAATACCAGATGAAATTCAATTTGAAGTTGAATCAATCGGGCGACAGGAAGAACGGCAGATTTACTTTGAGACAATACAACCGCATAGTTCCCTTCAGCATCATGATAAAAGTTATAACCGAATCCAGATAGGTCTCTTTCGCTGATTTATGTCCCATGGGTTCATTCCGACTGGAAATACGTTGTTAGGGTTGTACAAGTCATTGGTGCATGGTCCCACTCGTTGACGACCACGCGAGTGTGTCAAAAAGTCGTTTTCTTCCCGTCTGTCTCAATTCGTCTCGTCGTTCGGCAGGACTCCGAGCGACGACCAGACACTTTTGCCTAGGTAGGTTCCTTCGTTGCTCCGACACTGAACTAGGTGACTGCCCGGCTGACAGGTGCAATGCCGCCCGCCGCTGTTCTGAGACAGCCTAGGCCTGACGAAACAGCCAGCCAGACTGGCCAGACACAAGAGGCAGCCGAGCTTGTAGTGTACATGTTATTGCTGTGAGGTAATATAGTGGAGCCTCCCTTACCCCACTGTTTTCGTCGCACCTGCCGCAGGCACCCAGATTGCGGCTCAGTCGCTAAGTTTGCCTTCAACACTCCACATACTGGCACTGCTAAGCCTGCAAAACCACCAAGCCTGGACCCTATTCGGCTTTGATCTATTGCGGCACCTCACAAACAGTTGCTTCCACAGGGAAACGGAGAAATTCAGACGCTTGACAAGCTGAAGCGCTTAGAGTTTATTGTCACCGATGACTCCGTACCTAGTCACCTGCGCCCACCCGAGCTGCTTCTAAGCGGAAGCTGTGTCACGACGGACTACAGGCGAGCCGAATCTGCATTGTCTTAACGGAGAATATCCGGTTTCCTGAGTCTATAGGAGGTCCAGTCCGAACAAAAGTCCATACAGAAAAGAAAAGGTTACAAGATAACGTAATGTTACAGATACCCGTCACCTATGGAAGAGTGCCAAAGGCCCAAAGGTGTTCGGATTAGGTGGGCAGAGCCATATCATATCCCAAACCAAGTGAAGCCATTCCTTGCGCTGAGATGATCATGACCAAAGGTATCGGCCATCCTGAAGAATCCTAAATTTTGCTCCACAATACGTACCATTTGAACCAACTTCGTTAGCCAGGGCAGTATTGTCAATCTGACCCTTTCCCGCACATAAGTCATAAGTCTATTTCCCAGACCCTCTGCCTACCAGAACAGACCCTCTGTGTATTAACCCGCAACCTGCAACCCATAACCCCCAAGCCGTGAACCAGTCCGTTTAGGTCCCCGGAAAAAGCAATAAAAGCAAAGCGATATCTGGCTCACAACAACCAGAGTGTTGATCCAGCCCTGTGACCATATATGGATAATATTTCAGGCGCACTCTGACTTGAGGACGCTGACCAGCCTCTGGAGACGCGCCATAGCAGAAGACTCATCACCTACTTTCGTTTCCCCAGACCCGCCCTGGGCTTCCTCAACTCTCTGGTGATAGATGATGAACTCGTTGAGGGAATCCACCAGCGGCTGGATACTCTTTTTGGGGTGGACTGAGACGAATTTGTCCCTGATGGGTTCGCGGAGGCAAAGGTATCCCAGCAAGATGGCAAGATAGCCGAGAGCAACATTGAGTTGAGCTTTCTCCTTGGAATCCGCCTGGGAACGTCTCTTGTCTTAGTATCATGTTTCATATCTGAGAACAATGGACAGACGTCTAACTTACATCTGAGGTTTTGGAGTGGTTGTCAGCAAAGAGCTGGATCAATTTTTCTAGCTGCGGGCCCGGGGTACCCCCTCTTGTATCAAGAGACTTTCCAGCTGGTGGGTAATAGACGCAAAAGTTAATCATAACACCGAGCATCATGATGAGAGATTCGTAAACTTTGGACAGGAAAGCATCAGCCTGCATGGAATTCAAGACAACGTCAAAGGCAACGCATGCCGAATGCGCTAGGTTCTGGAGAAGTCCCTTGTTGACAAGCGTTCCCGAGGCGTCATGGTTGTGATTAGTCATGTTAAGCGTAATCCTGAGGGCGAGGCTCTCTAGGTCGTTGAACTTGTCCGCAGGCCGGGTCAAGGTAGTCTCCAGCACATCAGCCGCAATCGGCACGTACTGAGTCGTCCATTTAGGGCTGAGGTGAGACTGCATGGCGTAGATGGAATGGCCTTCTAGAACATACAGGGCGAGGAAGAAATCGATGGATGCTTGCTCTTGCGGGAACTCCCAGCATGCCTGGTCGGATGTGCCAGCGGCCAAAATCGAAAAGAGTTGATCGGTCACTTTCGAGGAGAAAACTTCAAACTCGTCCGACATTTGGGTTGACTGTCGCATAATCAAGTCCAGACACTTAAGTGCGAGCGTTCTGGGCGATACAAGCTTAGGCAGGGCAGTTTCCCATACCGGAAGCTTCAGCAGAGAGGCCTTGATTGTCCCTAGTGTTGTTTGGCCGTTCCTCGACACATTCTGCTTCCTCTCTTTCGCCAACTGGACAATATCTCTTGGCTCGCCCAGTAGTCGCTCAATAAGAGCGGCGAAGCCCTGAGCCTTCAGCTGTTGGAGTAGCAGGGTTGAAGCCGAAGTGGCCAGCATGTTCGCAACAACTGCTGCGATTGCAAAGCCAGAAATGAGGTCCGCCTCTTTATCTAGCGACTTGAACACATCATCGGCGCCGCCATGATTGCGAAGCTGTGACCGAAACGACTTTTCATTCGTTTTCTGAGCAAGCTCGAACAAAGCGCCTCTTCGTAATGAGGAAGGCTTTTCCGATGGCGGACCTACTCTATCGAGAATATCCTCGATCTCGTCCGCGAAACGGCTGTTAGCACCGGCTTGTCGCAGTTCGTGGATACTCCGAACGGCTCCTGTATTGACTGTCTCGTCTTCCTCGTCCATGAACGAGAAGGCGTCCAGAGCAGCACTTTTGGTCAGGCGACCAATGTTAAATAGTGCACCCCCGGACAAGCTATCATCCAACCCCATCCCGCCCAATCCACCGCCATCAAACAGCGGGTCGTTTTCGGCCAACATTGACCTTTGTTGCGTATACGTGAACTTGGGCCCGGATTTCTTGGTTGCAAGTATTGGGCGAGCAAGTCGCTTTGACGGTGTCATGGTTGAGGGATTCGGGGAGCTTGGGTCTTGGAACTTGGGGGATTGTTTGCCTTGAGGACTTTCTAGCAGCGGAGAATTGCCATCTTCATCGGAGGAACTGTCTTCTTCCTTTTGGGCTACCAAAGCATCGATCAAGCGTTTCCGCCGTGGCGGCGCAGCAGTAACAGAGGCTTCTGTTTGTGGCGGCGGAGAGGGATTCCTTTGCACGGGCAAAGGCAGCGGTTTTGGTTTGGTTGACGAAAGTCGGAGCGGGATTTGATGCTTTGTTGCCGTATGCGTCGGAATCGACCGGGAAGAGAAGGCATCCGTCATCTTGACATCTTTAACAGGTGTATTGATGGCCTTTTGCTGCCACTTCGCCTTCGGTACTGTTATTGCAACCTGTTCTTTCGAAGCATTGACGGGTGTTTCTGTGCCAAATGGCGATGAATTGGGAGTCGAGTATGGTCCTGCCAGTACGTCTGTCTGTTCCGAATATGTCCGAGTGATCTTCCTCTTCTTTGCCCTCGCGTCATCCTCGCCGGTTTCGATGCTCCCTGGCAGTGGCTGGCTATGTGACTCGTCGTGTAGCCTTGGATGGCTGGTCCGGCCATATTTCTGTTGGGTTGATAACCTACCTCTGTTGCTAGAGCTAGTGGTACGAGATACGGCAGGTCCCGGCGAGCTGGGTGGCGATGGAGATGTGAGGGTAGCAGTCACAGGGGCTTTCGTTATGATGTCTTCCTCGCTCTGATTTGTCTTGACGGAAATAGAGGATGCGCTCCTGTTGATGGAGATCGAGGAAGTCGAAGCTTCCACTCGCCTTCTCGTAGCTTTGCCGTATGTGGTCACGCGCTTCTTGGGCGGAAAGTCGTAATCACTGAGGCTGGCCATTGTACTGACTGTGGCCGAGCAACGGAACGGAGCCCAGATTGATGGATAGCTTTGACAGCGACGAATATGTCAATCGGTTATACGGGCGCCGTAATCGTATCAGAGCAACATGCGGGAAACTATGGTAAGTTCGGCGGCTGAAGGTCGACTAGTTGGTCAATGGCAGTTCCGGTCAAGTAAACGTGTTGTTGGCGGCGCAGTCACCAAAGCGCGGATGGAAGTCCGATGCGCGCAGCTCGTCTAAGGCATACGGCGATTGTGACGGCGATGGGGAGCTGGAGACATGAGCTTATAAAGTTCGGAACCAGAAGGTTGTTATTGTGGTGGTTAGTGTTGGTTGAAGCGAAGCGATGTTTGCTGCGGTGTAGTTGAGGCGATTGAGTTCAAGTTGCGCTTCCTTCCGTCCCGCGTAGGTTCAGTCCAATGTTTTGGAAATGGAAGAAGTCGAAGTGGAAACGGGTGTCATTGTTGCGAAAACCCCACAATATCTTGCTCCCGTCCCGTCACGGTGCCTGCCCTGTGGCCCTGTGTCATCAGTGGTTCACTGCAGTGCGGTGCGCGTGCAAGGGCGGCGGCAGGGGCAAAGGCAGGACAAGGTTCCTAGCACAGTGACCCTGCAGATGATGGTCTGTGCTTCCATGCCGTTCCCCTCGAGACGCCCGCTCCTCTTTTTCTGCATTTCCGAAAAGAGCCTTTTGATGTTATCGTCCCGTCTCATTGTTTACACATACAAACCTTTATCTCTAGATCTGACTGGTACAATTGTAAAGCGCGGATATCGGCACCGCATTGTTAAGGACGAAAACCCGTGGGGTTGCCAAGTCTCTCACATTCTTGCAGTAGGTGAACTTTTCATCCCATCAGAGCTTCCTACCTTGATGGCTCCCACTGGACGGCCTTCGGTGTCTGCCGCCCGCCGCCCGTTGGAGCTCTCGCGGGCTCACGGCGGGCACGGCGGGGTTCCAGGTCGCGGGATCCAGCTGGACTCCAAGAGCGTTTCCACGGTTTCCACTTCCACTTGGACGACTCAGGTCGGACAACCCTGAGAAGCGGGCAGGGATCGGTCCAGAACTGAAGCCTTTCGCAAATGCAGTACTTTTTTCTGATCTGACAATCGCTCAAAGTCCCCCTTTCTTGTCCTAGTTCCCGCATCCCGCCACGATCCTCTTCCGGTAAACGGAGAAGCCCAGTCGAATAGTAAGTACACACGCGACCAACTAGGCAAGGCGCCAATTCCTGTCCCCGTTGATACTCTGCGACACCGAGTTCCACCGTTTATCAGCTCTGCAAGTGGGAGGGGTTTGGTGGGACCGTTGTTGATACATGGTTGGGCGCAGATCTAGTAGAATCTACTGATCTTCCTCGAATCTGGGGGTGGCAGCTTGCGCCGCCTCGTCTTCCCATTTGGTCGCGCTCAATCCCAATCACGAACCCTTATATTCAATCTGTTTGTCATATGTCTGCTCCTGGCTTACAGATAGGCTGTCACCTTCGCCCCAGGATCCTCTTTTAAGAAGCATCTGATCCGCCCTCCCCCCTCCACGAACACTTGCGTGAGACACTATCTTTCTTTACATTGACCACACATCACCTACACGAAACAATTCGCAGAGTATCCGTTCTCACGACTGCGGCACTTAGTCCATCCTCCTATACCTACCTCACCCAACCAAGTCAACATGTCTACCGCCTCCGAGATCGCGCCTACCAAGTGCGTGGGCCCCGATTACCGCGCCGAGGAGCAGAAGCCCACCGCCACCGTCTCGACCGCCGTCAACTACGACAACGTCACCGTTCTCTCTCAAACTCCCCAGCTTATCGCTCTTCTCAGGTGCGTTTGCTTGCCTCGAGTTGCCTTCCGGACTGCCGTCCGCCAGACGCTGACCTCGGTGGTTACAATACAGCATTATCCGTGACAAGCGGACCGACCGCGGCGACTTCATCTTCTACTCCAACAGAATCATCCGTCTCCTCGTCGAGGAGGGCCTCAACCACCTCCCCACCGTCGAGCACCCCGTTACCACCCCCGTCGGCCGCATATACGATGGTTTGGCGTTCCAGGGCAAGATCTGCGGTGTCTCCATCATGCGCGCCGGGGAGGCCATGGAGCAGGGTCTGAGAGACTGCTGCCGCTCCGTTAGAATCGGCAAGATCCTTATTCAGAGAGACGAGGAGACTGCGCAGCCCAAGCTCTTCTACGATAAGCTTCCCGAGGACATTGCCGACCGCTGGGTCCTTCTCCTCGATCCAATGTTCGCCACTGGTAAGTCTAGGATCTGGGGGAGAACCAAGCGCGCCTTGTGACTGGGTTTTCCACGGCTAACAAGTGCTGTCTGTGCAGGCGGATCTGCCATTATGGCCGTCGAGGTGTTGAAGTCCAGGGGAGTTCCAGAAGAGCGGATTATCTTCCTCAACATTTTGGCCAGTCCCGAGGGCATCAGCAACTTTGCTTCCAAGTTCCCCAAGCTCCGAACAGTAACTGCTTTTGTCGACCAAGGCCTCGATGACAAGAAGTGTGTTTTCCGTTCCGTTCCGCCTCATGTTGGTCGCTGAGAATATGATGAGATTTGAGACTGACTCTATTTGCTATAGTTACATTATCCCCGGTCTCGGTGACTTCGGCGATCGCTATTACTCCATGTAAAGTGTGAAGGGGCGTAGGTAGATCGTTGATTGTGATGACTTCCTGGCGGTGGGGATCGACTTTGGGAAATGGCGTTATCTGAGAGGACTTTTTGATGCCAAGCGTAGTAATGGAATACCCACTCTGGAAAAATTCAGCAAAACGAGTTCGTGCGGCTTCGTTCGTCGAAATAAAACTGGCATCGAGATTCGGCTCGGCTTCGCCTATCGTGTGGATGATGATGATGATAATGACCCTTAACAAACCTTTCGCTCAGTCAACCATGACCCCATGAGATATTGGACAGAAAAGAAAGAGAAACAGCCAGCCGGCTACGTGGACGTAACGCAACGTCGAATCGCCGATGTCTTTTAGTCGTAGTCATCGTCGTCAACCTCAACGCCGGATCCGCCATAGCCTCTATCGTCATCCTCATCATCTTCGTCGATATCGGCAGCTCTCCGGCTTGATGCCGCTGGCCGCCCACCCGTCGACCGGCTGTTCGAGTAAGATGCTGCTTTTGCGCTTGCCTCGGCTTCTTGTGCAACAGCGTCTGTTTGGTCCAAGTCAATGACAAGCTCTAACATGGCAAGGGCAAGGCCATATGCTGGCTTACCTGCAGCGTCTACCCAAGCACTATAGACATCTACCGCAGCATCGAGGTCTACATTGTAGTTGTGAAGTCAGCACTCCTCTGCTTCTCTTGTTTTTGTGAGTATATCCAAGGGTTGGCTGAGCTAGTCTTACAGTTGACAGGGCATTGGAACTTTTGGCCGCAAATTTTGCAGTCGAGGTAGCCAACGCCGGCCTTCTTGTCGAGCTTGACGATGACGGATCGTTCGTGGTTGCAGAACAGGCATGTGAAGACAGTGGGAAGGGGGTCGTTCTAGTTAAGAGGGGGGTGAACAGGTTAGCGCGTTGGTTGTGAGGTGAAGGAAGCGTATAATATGACTGACAGGTGGAAGGGTACAATGTAGATGGGGTTCCAGTAGTAGTGAGTGTTGTGTATGATATGGGAAGATGGTGCTTGGGGGGTGCAGAATGTCTAAAAAAGCTTATCGGGCAATGACGTCTTTGGTGGTATCCAGAGGCGCGCGCAACGGACAAAAGTACGCGATCATCTCTTGGGGTTTGGTGAATGGAAAAAGTAGAGGTCGAGATATGCACATACCCTCCTGGGGCCCTGCGGCTTTCTTGACGACTTTTTGCGCTTGCCCATTGTGAAGTTGCCGTGATGGTTGTTGTTGTTTAGGTGTTGTAGGTGGTGGGTTTGTTCAAGTTTGTTGAAATGGCACCGGGGCGTGTCAAGTTCGGTTGCGGTCACTAAGTACTGCAGGTGCGCGGCCGGCAGTGCTGAAGATAACCTATCGATGATTCGCGTCGCAATGGAAACCCTTGGTGCTTCTGGCGCACGCGCTGCAGATCGGATTGCTGAAAAATTGCCGGTGAATGGAAAAGGGGAAGAGCACGTTGGTCGTTGAGAGAATGGAGGCGTGTGCCACTTTACTCAGCACGTGCCTGATGAGTGACTCCTTGCAGGCAAAAGTTGGTGGTTATTGAGGTGTTGATAGTTTTGCGACTACACTAGTTCTAGGTAGTTTCTGCACCTTCATGAAGCGTCGCTGACAGCAACCGCCAAAAAGTTTGGCCCCATTCCCGTCCAGTCCCCCCGGTAAGGTCAGTGTTGCCTGCCCCACCACGACTCTCACCGTTCTCACCAAGGTGAGTTCCTCGGACGCCGCGCGCGTGATGGTTGTCGTAGGCTCTATGGTTTTACAAACCCAAAGATTGATAAGATTATTCACGTAGACTGATGCAATAGCCCGTGCACATGATGACAGGACAGGGCTGACTTTTCACAACTCAAGGCGGGGGCCTTGGCGTGGGGCCCGCCAATTTGATCCCCACCTTGCCCCACAAAAGACCTCCCCCAGCTTTGGGAGGATCGACTACATATCGAGCGGGGACTGGTGATTGGACAAATCTGGCATTTGACATCCAAGCACCTGCCATCCAGAGTTCGGACCTGGTGTAATCAAGGCGTCCTGTTCGATAAGACGACCACCCCGCTTATCATGGTTGCTGATGGCCTTGGCCCGAGATAGGTTCCCTTGTGAGCAGCAGGGCAGCGTTATCGAATTCGATAACATCGGTACCTTGCTTGATTTCTCGAGCAACTTGCAAGCGGTAGTATCCGATGGTGATGACAGCTCTCCCCGGTACCGGCACCACCCGTTTCGATGTTGGGAGTTCTTTACGTATACTGAGCGGTAACCATACATACCTTACTACTTGCATCGCGGTGTCAACAATCACTTAAAATCCATACACCCCCATGTTGTTTCCTGTTGTGATGAACACAGGGCCTGCACTTTCCCTACACTATGCGGGACCTCTCCAGTGTCGTTCCTTTTCTGCTTACACAATGACTACATACCTACTAACAAGGGACCACCTACATACGGTACATACCGCTTCCACTTGGAACTGGCGGGAACTGGGGGACAAGGCGCGCTCGTCTCCGAGATCCGCAGCCACGGCACTCGATCCGATTGCGGTACCCCGCCGCCGGCGTCCGTTGTGGGGAGCATGTGGTTGACCCCAAAAGTGGCAGCATGCTACTCCAGCCTACAGGGATCGAGGAAGCGCTACGGGCATGCCACACACACCCTGTTATCGATCAGCTGGCTATCTTGCTTGGTAACGTTGGTCAGTAACACGCTCCGCAGCCGGTGATTGCCCGAGACGCAACTTGTACCGACTCTTGTTACGTGTTGCAAACCATCGAGTGGTCGATGGCCAAAGACATGCTCTTATCACGAGGGGGCCTTCGGTGGCTTCGGGCAAGTTAGGTACGGTATGCCCCTGGTGACGGCGAGTGCATGTACACTACGAGCTGGAAGAGGAGAGGTTGGATGGCCAAGTGGAAGCATAGTCCAATGTCCACTTCCTCCGGGGACGTCGATAACTACCATGTTATAACTGGCCCTCGTGTCGCCCGACTGACTGACTGTCTCTCTCAAGGTTGCTCCAGATTCCCATCGTCTTCAGTATCTTCGTCTGTTTGTTCCTGACGTTGCCTCCATCCCGTCCCTTTGTCTCCCGTCTCTTGGACCACTACTAGAATCTCTCTCTTTTATCATCATCTTTGCCTAGATACTGCTGCCCTTCCTCCCCCATTTGCTCAAACAGTCAGACCTGGTTACAATGGCTACAGGTCTGGAAGGTGTGCAGGATGCCTTGCTGGCCATCGCCCAAGGCCAAACGAAGCTCATCTCGGCGGTTGAATCCATCTCTCAACGTGTGAGCAGCTTGGAGAAGACTCGCGAAACCTCGTCGAAACCCAACGGCGAAGCTCCAAACCCAGTCACCACCCCGCTCGTTTCCGGCTATGTCCAGACGCCACCGCTCTTGCAGGCGGATGCCGGCACCATGTCACCATCATCTCCGCCCGCCGATGTCACAAAGTCCAACTTCTCGAACCGCGTCGTGCTCACGACCTATCCCAAGCAGATCGGCATCAACCCTCTACCGATGGAATGGGGTGCGGCCGATCCCGTGAAGCGTGGCCCGGTAGCTGTCATCCGATCTGGCTCGACCATCCGCAGACGTAACGCCATTGGAGCCCACGGCGGTTCATACTCGGTTTACTATGCACTGGCTCTGGCGAGTAAGGAGCTGGATCCAGACCACAAGCCTGACTTCACCAACACCGAGCCCGCCGTCAACATTGGCCCCTTCCCTCAATGGGGAGACCCCAAGAAGATTGTAGCCATGGATCCTTGGGGCCATCAGGTTCCTTGGATTTTCAAGGATCTCATGGATAAGGAGGGTGGTACGTACTTTCACATGTTGTTGTCTATAATCCCTATTTGCATATGATGGAAACTGACACTGGCTATCGACAGTTGATCTCCGGCCGACGATTGCGATCACAAAAGCTCATATGAAGCTGCCTGAGCTTGAAGAGAGTGTTAAGAGCGGCAGATTGGTTCCAGATGGCAAGATCTGCTTGAACAGCAACGGTGAACTTGCGGTAACCAAGTTCGCCGTCGAGCCTGTTTGGTACCTCCCCGGAGTTGCCGAACGGTTCGGTATTGATGAGGGCACATTGCGCAGATCCCTCTTCGAGCATACGGGTGGCATGTATCCCGAGGTAATTGGCGCCGCTGGATTATAGCACTTTCACGGACAGACGATGCTGATACAATAGCCAGTTAATTACGCGTTCCGATATCAAGGTCTTCCTGCCCCCTATCGGTACGAATCATCAGCTGTGTATCCCGTCATGGTGTGGTGTTTCAGATTCCTAACCGTCTCTTTCTAGGTGGTTTGACCGTGTACTGCTTCGGCGATCCCGCGAAGATGTCAGACCCTTCCAAGAAACTTGCGTTGAGGATACACGACGAGGTAGGCTCTCGTTCTCATGGGATGTCTTGTCTCTTGAACACATCTTTCACTGCTGACACAGCCACCTTCTATGTAGTGTAACGGTAGTGATGTTTTCTGTTCCGATATCTGCACTTGCAGACCTTACCTAATCTTCGGTATTGAGGAGGCCGTCAAGGAGGCTCAGAATGGCGGTAGCGGCGTGGTAATCTATTTCCGTAAGGAAGGTCGTGCCCTGGGCGAAGTCACAAAGGTATGTGTTCCAAAACTCTGCTCATGAAGACTAAATGCTAATCCAGCGTCACAGTATCGTATGTTGAGTTCCTAGTTGATGCTTACCTCGTCCCATACGGGGGATTCTCGTTTCCTGGGTGAGAGACTAATCGGGAACCTTTTACAGTTGTGTACAACGCGAGAAAGCGCGGGGCAGATCTTGCATCGGACTATTTCAAGCGCACCGAAAACATTGCCGGTGTAAAGGATATGCGATTCCAAGCCCTGATGCCCGATATTCTTCATTGGCTGGGTATTACCAAGATTGACCGAATGCTTAGCATGAGCAAGTGAGTAACACCAAGCCCCTCTCCCCCCCCCTACTGCGCGCGCTCTCCTTGCCTTGTGGCAGGTATCACCGATCCTCGATCTAATGCATGGTCACTTTATAGCATGAAACACGACGCCATCGTCGGCCAGGGGTGAGTTAGCATTTCCTGTTCAACTATGTGGTGTGCCATTGTGCTCGGGTCTTGCTGCATAACCTGCACGTGTGGTGAGCCGGCGATCTTTTGCTTGATGGATGCTAACCTTCCGCACAGTATCCCTATTCTAGAGCGTGTTGAGCTCCCCGAAAGCTGGATTCCAGCCGATTCGAGAGTAGAGATCGACGCCAAGATCAATGCCGGTATGTTTGTCATACTTACTCTTCCAATGTTTCTGTGAATAAAGGCAGATTAACCGACGAGGATTCGGTTTTATGTAGGATACTTCACGACAGGTCACAGAATGACGGAAGAAGAACTCAAAGCGGTCCAAGGTCGGATATGGGAAGAGTAAGTTATCCCTCTTCAAAAAGTCACTTATTAACGAATCGAAGAAACTCGAGGCTAACTTAACCACAGCATCGACCACTAGAAGCAGCAACCGCACGGAGGATACGACGCACAAAGGAGTTTGGTCATGGATTGTAGAGAGATTATTCGGGCAGCAGCTGCATCTTGGGAGAACCCATCGCAGCCCCGTCATTGCCTCTTTGATAACCATATATAACTCATCCCACTTTCTCGATAGGAATGATTGTTCAATTCGATCCTGCATTTACCACACCATATCCGCCACACCCACAATCTGTCAGGTCTGAACGTGAAGCGGGCGGGTGAAATGTGGAGTGAAAAGAGAGCAACAGAGATCACGCAAACAGCTCTTCGGCCGGTATGTGGTTTTAGCCATGCATATGTAGTACAATGACCATATGATGAGCATCTACTCACTAGTACTTGCCATTCCAGCCTGATATTCACATCAACTCGCGCATCAAGTGACGAGTCTTGAGTTACCGGGCTGTATGGTTCGCGAAGATGCTGAATGGATTACTTGTCTTCATGACTTAACAACGATCTTTGTTACCCGAAGGACGAAGCAGCAATCCTGTGGATGGGATAGGAAGGTAAGGTAACCAAGTTCGGCCGGCCTATAATGAAGGATGCCAGTCAATGGCCAGGGACGGAGGATACAGAGAGCTTGTATATCCCGAATACTTTGCTTTGGGCGGGCGGTTGTCGCTGTGACCAATAAAGCCTAGCCATCTATTGTAGCAATTGTTCGTCCTACGATACCTCTACAGGTAGGTAACTCTATCGTTCAAGACAGACTGAGTGGTAATCGCCTGAACAGCGTAGAATTACTTGTCTAAGTACTTAAATAGCCATCTAGTCTGGCAAGTGTGCCTGTGCGCTTGGGCTGTCTTTTGTCCTGGCTTACAGTGTGTCTTCTTCCCACGCTTCTCTCTTTCTGACTTGAATTGTTCCTACTTCCCAATGCCTCCAATGCTGCGTATTTCACCCGAGAGGAAAAAAAAAAAAAAAAAAAAAGAAAAAGAAAAAAAAAAGGACACCGATGAGAGTTGAGGTGGTTCCTGGATGTCAGGCACTTCCCTCGTGGGAGAGAACATGCGAATGATAGGCTGAACACTGCATGTAACCTGCCAGATATTGGGGGTTACAGGCTACACGGGGTAGAATGGGGACGGTTCAAAGAGGGAAGGAGGTGGTTGGATTTGTGGGAAGAGGGAACCGTGGGATTTTGGTAGGGAGTCAGGGGAATCGGTCTATTTGCATTGATATCTTTTGCCCATCTCTTTGGTCTTCGTACACTACAAACACATCTCCTTTGATGGACGCAAGATGACATATATGTGGAAGTTGGTTTCTCTCTGACGATACTTTACTATGCTGTTTTGTAAGTCTTAACCCATTATTCTAGGTCGTCTTGGAAGGTTGAGGGTTGGTTAGGCAAGGTCTAAGGTACCTCAAACTCGTCACTATGGTGTAGGTTGGATTATCTTGAGGCCTATGCGGTCCTGACAACCAGGGATTGAATGTAAGCAAGACAGCGACGGGAGGATTCTACCGGCATGATGATCGACAGTTGAAAGACAGAACAGATACAGTACTGCCAGAATTGCACAATCCTGCGTCTGGTACCATGATATCCTCCCCATCTGAGGTAAGACTGATCATAAATCCTGTCAGATCTCATCTCTATCTTTTTTTTTTTTTTCTTTTTTCCCCTTGACCCCCATCCCCCACCGAATTCCCTCCTTCGGGCGCCCCCCTCCCTCCCTCTGGGGGCCCTCCCCTGTCTCCCGTTTATACACTACCCTTCGGGTCAGACTGGACATTGTTCACAGAAAGAAAAATAAATCCACACGATAAGATTCATCCAAACATGCTTGGTTGGAACGTGGTTCTTTTCTGGCTTTATCCTGTCTGTCCCGTAATCAACGGGGGTACTTCCAAGGTCAAAGCATTTAGCCCCATTGCCGATCCCTTCTAGAACCGTAAAACAACGGTTTTCCCGTTTACATACTTCAGACACTGTACGCCTTATATCAGCATCGCTTGGTCCAGCTTCGCTTTCCTGCGAAACCATCAAAAGGGTCGAAACAAATTATGATGTCAATTTGGCGGTGTTAAATAATATTCAATTATAGACCGGGGCCAACCATGCCAGCGCAGGGCAGGCAAACAACAACACCACATCTCGGCTTTCATGTTAGTTTTCCTTCTTCTTCTACCTGTTGATTCTATCTAGCCAATCGGCCATTATATCACATATTTTGTTGCTGGATGGTATCCGCTCCGTTCAGGTGTACGCAGTAGTTGCTAGTTTGCGCTGTAGACAGGGATAACAAACAAGGACAACGCAACGAGTACGTGTAGTCCAAAATGGAGACAGCGGGACGTTGACGACGTTGCCAACTTTTGTTGACAGCTCCGAGATGATCAACACTTTCTCCACGTGTAATGGTAGACGGAAAAGGAAGGACGTGGGAAAATATCTAAATTGATGAATTTTTGTATACACTACTGCGTACTAGAACTAGTTCCCAGGATCCCTTCTCCCCTTCTCATGTACCTGTCACTCTCTGCTGGCATTTTGTAAGAGGTTAGCGTGGTGAGCTGCAAAGTGGCGATAACTGTGTTTCTCCATACAAAAGATGGCTGCTTTGCTCACCTCTAATTCCCTAAAAATCGTGAGGCGGCGGCACCGCGCTTACCAGTACGAGTAGTACGCCGGCTGAGGCGTGCGTACAACGCAAAAAAGTCCCAAGAAACCCAATCAGATGATCGACTCGCCCAAAGGAGGATGAGTGGTGGTGTTCCTGAGCCGAAGCGAAGTAAGTAGTGTAATGAAGGCAGAGCGGACATACTGTGTAGAAGAGTGCCTGATGATCAGTTCCAAACATTCCATCCAACTACACCCGGAGACATCTGGTTTTCTCTTCTTCGAGGAAGAAAAGAAAAAGAAGGATCGAGATGGTACACCTGTGTATGCAGCCCACACACAGTCACAGGACTTGATTCTTGCCACGGCCGGCTGTTGTACGTCTGGTAGGTACCTAGGTATGTAGTCGGGTCGACAAGTTCGGGTCCGGTGAGGCGTCTTCGTCTCTCTCCATGAGTGCGATGTTGTTTGAATGCAGTATGATGCTGGTATGGGGAAGCAAAGACTTGGCAGGTACGTGCCGTAATGATGGACGCCCAGGCCGTGCCGCGGGGGATCGAGTGATGGAGCCACCACTGTCATCATTTCCTTTCGGGGTAAATCCTTTCCCTCCTCATGTTTTCTGTTTGGGATTATCAGGAGATCTTGTCTTAGACTGAGAATGCCCTGGGTTTACCCCTGGCCCCTGGGCCTAATGTAGGTACCATGGTGCTCTTGCGGTTGTAGCTCGGGTAGTGTAGGTGGATATAGTACTAAGTATATGGACTGGCGGACAAGGAGGGAGGATGTCTGTCCTCGATCTCTTTTGTCTTTTTCTCTCTCTCTGACGTATTGAGAACTGCTTGTCAGAAGAGCGTGGTAGTTGACTTAGATCGCTCGGCGTGCAGTCGGGTATGTCTTGAATGACGAAGGTTTGTTACAAATGAAAAGTTGGTAAGCATATGCTCGTATCGACGTAGGATACACTAGGATTCACCAGAGGAGAAATGATGGTGCCGTCGCCTCTTCCCTTCGCCGTCACCTTTGCTCCCGCCATCTGGTTGATAGTCGGAAGAAAAAGAAGAAGACTTCAAAATGGAAAAATGTGTCATTACGGATTTCTGGCCAATGGAAAATCGAAGGGCTTCGGAGTGAAGAGCGCAAGGTGTGTTACAGGTGAGCACAACTAGGTAAATGGAACTACGAATCGGGGAAGAGAGGGTAGAAACCGCACGCCAATGAGAACCGAGAAGCTAAGGGGGAAAAAATCATGTAGAAACAGGATTTGGTGATGACGATGAAAACAATTTTCTCGGTTTGTGATGCTTTGGAAGGGGGGGAGGGAAGGTGTGAAGAAGAAAGTTCAAAGACTGTGTAATAGCAGCACAGTGACTGCGTACTAAATGCTTCGATGACTGCCGAAAGGGTAGGGTCAGTTAGGTTAGTATTAGAGTCAGGTTGTTGTGAGTAGTCCCGGCGGTGCAGGTGGCCAGTGAGAGGCTCTCGTGTGAAATAGATGTTTCCCTTTATCAACAAGTGTCTATTCGGACATTGTTTATTGCGAATGTTCGGGTGCGCATTTGGGTGATGGCAGTTCGTGATGATTCCGTGCGCGGATACGCCAGGGTACTGTGTAAGCTTGAGGTCTTGCTGTGGCTCGTCCTGGCTGAGTGTCTGGCAGCGAGTTTGTATGGCCCCACACAGTCGGTGGCTTGAACGAGCCTGAACTGACGAACACGGCAGAGACGGCGACTCGGGAATGTCATCCTATCTTGTAGATCTTGGGTATTCTTGTGCCTCGCTCGTGTTTCTATCCATTCTGTGATCATCCGCGCCATGGTTCATGACAGCAGGGCGCAATGTAACGGAATACAAAATTGGAGCACGGGGAAGCTAAAGCAAGCTCGCAAGCTTGTCTGCCTCCAGCCGGCGACGGCGATCCTAAAGATCGAAGCTAAATAAGAACTTTGGGTGGAACCAAAAGAAGTTGTGCAGTAGCAAGAATAGCTACACTAGCATAGGCAACACGGTGGTTCCAAAGAGGAGAAGAAGAAGTGAACGTTGTTGACTGCAATGGATCCCACAACATCGGATAACTTTTCGACATCGGTCAGTTCGAAACATGACAAGGCCTCGGGGGCTTACTTGCAGCGACTGCCTACAGTAAAGTAGGAACCGACGGAGCGAAAAGTGACAAAGCTTTGTAACCCAGTCAACGGTTGTTCAAAGTGGGTGGAATGAGATATGGCTGCCCAGTGAGCCTGATGCCCTACCAGCCGGCAGTGTTGAGAAAATACGCAGTCGTTCTCACTGGTCCAATTGTAGTATTATGGTGGAGTTTCTATGGACTGCCCCTCTCCCTTTTTTTGGAAGATCGTCATGGATGTGCCGGACTCTTCTCAACCGTCCGCACTGCGTGGACTTGGCAGTTGCATGGAACTGGAGACAGAATCCGGGGTCTGACTAGACCAGCTGCTTCATGTGTTCTGTCTAAGGTACCTACCCCGCTACGTACCACAGCATAGTATAGCCAGCAGGTACCAACATCGATAGGAAGCTGAATGTTTGGCGGGCGGACTGCTGCGCGCAAGGCATGTCCTCTCGCACGTGTGGAAGGCATGAGAAGATGCAGCTAGCATCTACCTATACTCCTTGCACGGCATCGCACAAAATCAAGAACATTGCTATGTGGTTATAAAAGGACTCCGTAAGTGAGGATGCCTCGATAGGGAACGGATAGTGGTACGTGCCACTTTCATACTGTTTAGCTCAAGGTTTAGGTTGGTATGGGGGCCTTAGCCCCGCCGAGAAGTGAGTGGCCCTCTGGATCCGTCCTCATCCTTCACCGGAAGCATCAAGTGTTACTCGATATATCAACTCAAGGTGCTGTGTATCCCAAGATTTATGTCTATCGGGTTTCCCGCCATGAAATGTGCGGTGGAATAGGATAGTGAAAAACTGTAATGTGGCTACCGGTCAGGAGGGTTGCATATGGAACATGGGGAAGACAGGACTGTGGGCCGATAGAGAGAGTGCGGGTGGGTGATATCGATCACAGAAAAGGCACATTAAAGTGACCATAACCCGCAACCGACAACACCCAACTCCCACTCTTCATCGGTCGATGGTAAGCTATCTGGAACCCAGAGAAGGGCATTCGCGCGCTGCTTGGCTTGGAATACATAGTACAATGCCATTGCCGTTGTTGCCAAAGGGAGGGAGGGTAATACATAACGTAATCTTCCAACTTTCTCTGTAATTGCACTGGCTTGCCGTTCTTTTTTTCTTTTGTTTTTCGTTCCCCTCTTTTTAAACGATTTGCTACCTGCGGTCGATTTTCCCCTCTCAGTTAGCACCGTAGTATTGTTCAGATTGATCAATTCCCCGAGCCATGTTCACTCAAGTCAGATATATGTACGAGTGACGAATTCCATCGAATATGAGAGTAAGAAAAGAACAAGCAGGTTCTGGACAAGCTAGAGAAGGCCGTATCGGTGTTAGGCGAAGAGGGCCTGGATGCCTCGATTGAGTAACAGAACAGAACAGGACTGGAGCGAGACCACCGGCGTTTCCTGAATTGGGTAGTCTAGGCCTTCTCTTTGGGTCCCCGATGCTCCCCAGCGTTTCCCCAGTGTGCGGCCAATGTCCAGTGAAGTTGTGAGCTCGAAAAGAGTCAAGTGAGAAGATGCAACCACCTTGCATGTTGCAGACTGGAAGTCTGTAAAGTGTCAAATCTTGAGTGGCTGACGGCGTTGAGTGTACCCCACCTGATGTTTCGTTTTGGCGGTGTTTGGGTCACCAGAGGAGCCAGAGGTACCCTACTGCGACGGCGGTCCAAAAAGGACCAGCGAGTAGGGTGTAGTCCGAGGGCATTGCGAAAACTGTCGCTGAAGTGCCGTGGAGAGCGTTGGACTTGGCATTTTCGAGACTCCGCTGTCGCCAGTTAAGGCTCTATGAATGGTCCGGCGGGCACCGGTCAGTACGTCGACGGAAACCGCAACACCTTGGTGTTCCATTCAATGCCCAAGTTTCTCGAATCTCGGGGGTTGCCATCAATGATCATAGCAGCTTGGGGAGCCGGGGACCAGGGAGGGGAGAGATGGGAGGCAGGGGCATTAGCAAGATGGGGACGATGGGGACGGGGGGGCAGGACCAACACCTGCGGCAGCTACACTACGTACTTGGTACCATGATCCATGGGTCCTCTCCATTCAGGTGCTGTGCCACCCCATGGTCTGCAGACGTGTACGGCGGTCGAGTCCAGAGAAGCACCTCGCCAACTCGTCTTATTATCCAAACAAATTGTTTGGTCGTTTCATGCACGTTGACATGCCTCATGTAACAGGAGATACTTCCGAATCGCCCGCTGGTCCGGCCTGGTTGCTTGTTGGTAGGCCTGGCCAACTTGCACAACCGGCCTGAACTAGGGAGGAATACAAGCACAGTCACACAACGCTGACTGGGTTTATTTGGGTGTGTCAAAGGGCTGCAGTGGTTAGGGTGGTCTTCCACTCTCGGCCCCGGAGGCAACAACGGGTAACGGGCGGGTATGCTTAGCCTCCCCTCTCCCCCTGGCCGACTCAACCATCGACTGACAAGTGGCAACCGAAAGTACCACTGAATGACACTGTAAAACACCTCCCCGGAGCTAAGCGGAATCGCACATTTCAGCCCAAAAAGGCTGCTTTTCTTCTTATACTCGGGTCCGTCTCGACTTCAAGCCCGCCCAACCTGCTCTCTTTCTTCTTCGTCTCCTTATAAACAACAGCCGGATTCGATGTGAAAGCCCAGTACTTTCTGGTGTTCAACACTACAGCACCTTGGACTCACAATAACGACAACCTATCATCATCCAGACCAAAAGTGTCCGTCACAACAACCAATCACAACAAACCAGACCAACATTAGACATGGCGTCGTCAACTACTGACTCTCGCCGCATGCCGCGCAGAGACTCTTCGACGGCCCGTGGCACCCGAAGCCCCAGCCAAAGGCCAAGACTTCTTCGAGCATCAGCCACCGAGCCCTCTATCACCACGTCCAATGCCAGCCGAGATGCGCTCGCGAACTCGTACTCGTCTCGCAGAGCAACCGAGCTCCTAAGAGTGGCTTACATCTCAGGTGGCTCATCTCCGGACGCCCTCACCAGAGCTACCTCCAGAGCTACATCTCCCATCTCAACACGGACATCACCACCACCAATGTACGATAGCTTGGGTCGACACTGTGAGCTATCCTCGTCTCCTATCAGCAACCCGGATGGCTTCGATGAGCTGCGTGATTCTTGTGAGTTGCTTGCCTCAGTCACTAATGCCTCGGGACAAGAGCTGACGCCCCGATAGATTCGCATTCGCATTCGCAGCGATACTTCAGCTTCCCAAGTTTTGACTTGTATGAGTCGCCTCACCAAGAAGAGGACAAAGAGCCACACATGAAGTCTCCTTGAAAGGCGCGCTCGGATTCTGGAAGGAGAGAGCTGTTTTCGACGATCTTTTTTTTTTTCTTTGTTTTTCAGTTTGCAAAAAGCAAGCCCTGACTTCCACTTTGGTCATCGGGCTGCTCACCCAAGACGACGTCCACCCACGAGGCCTCTATCACTCGGGGAACAGTTGCGCCGCCGTGCAAGAGCACTCGGCAGGCGTAATATTTCCAGGAACAGGACCCTGGTGTCATTGGAACATGACACGCAAACAGCCCGCATTGAATGGGCGCAGGGCATTGGTCGAGGGACAGGCGGATCATCCCGGCGTTTTGGATTCCTTCAATCCTATGAATCCCATTTTTGAGGTATTCGGAGGGGGGCAACGGAGGATGACAACGCGATGCACGCCGCTTCAGCACATCTCGTAGCTGGCGGATGCTACGTGCCCATCGGGTGGTTTCGACGGAGTCTTGTAAGAGCAGGATGTGTTTATTCCCTAGGGACAGGGGATGAGCAGTAGGGACAGGAGAGGCTGGTGGATGATCCTTACCCGACCGAGCTGTGGGCCAAGTTGAGCTCCCTCGGTCATGGGGGACATTGTCAGCGATTATGGCGCCAAGACACGCCTAGGTCCTTGTAACGCAGCCAACTGTTCAAGATGCGTGAGTGCCCCGAGGGCGCCGTGTCCGGTTGGCGACGACAAGACTGTCTTGTACAAAACAAACACCACAACATAAGATACCCTGTAGAAATGAAAGATGAATAAGTGCAAACTGCAAACAATTCTAGTTCTCTCGCAACCCTCGGACAAGTCGTGAGATGCGATGGCGGTGAATCCAGCCCCAGGTCAGTTGCTCGTCTCATTTGCTGGCGAATGTTCGTGTTGTCAGGTAGCCATGGGTGGTTAGTGCACCGCCAGAACATGGCTGAGCTCTGGTGAGTCTCGATGTAAGATGCGTGCAGTGATATCGCCAAAGTTCGTCGCCAGAGAATGCTTCATGCAGCAAATTGCAGCACAGTCGCCATGACAATGACAGGGCCATAGACCGTACGGTATTTGGGGGGGGGGGGGGGGGGGGGGGGGGAGATGACATGGCCGCATTGTACCAAACGTGGGAGCACAGGTGGTTCTGCTAAGGGTGCTTCTTTTATTTTTCTCTCTCTTTTTGGGGAGGTGGTGATGGTGATGGCGAATGGTGGTTGATGATTTGGTGATGGTGTTTGGTGAGAATGAAGGAACGAGTGGTTCAGAACCTTCAACTCGCCAAAACCTCCTCCAGTGAGAAGAAGGGTGCCTGCACTCTGCAGTCATGGAAGCAAAGTCCCCCCCGGGTCCAACCTCCCAGGCAACCAAGGGACCCAGCTGTGGACAAGAGTGGAGGAAGCGACTTGCCACGATAAGCGTTATCAGCTGGCGCCCCCCTGCTCGGCATTGAGCCCTAAGGTCCGAGGGGCCAATCAGGCTGTAGTCTTGGCAAGCCCCACCACCACAGTTTTTCCGGACTACGCCCACACAACGGGACAGACACAATTTCACCCTTCGAGGAGAGAAAACCAAACTCCGCGTCCCAGATTGCACGGTCTCCATCACCACCCCAAGCAGCACATTTTGTCCCTAGGCACAGGTGCTCGTCAAGATGGCTGTTGGCAAGTACGTTGTCACCCCGAAATATTGCCAAAATCGATGCCACGATGATGCGGGCGATGGATGGAATGAGCGGTCCGCGCAGGCGTCATGCGGTCGCGAGGCGATGACGAGCTCCGGTCGCAAATTACAGACAACATCGCCCGATCCGAATCGAGAAACAAACAGCACACAAGCAGCGCAGCGGCTAATCATTGGTGTTGGCGTGCAGGAACAAGAGATTGTCCAAGGGCAAGAAGGGTCTTAAGAAGAAGACCCAGGACCCCTTCGCCCGCAAGGACTGGTACGGCATCAAGGTGAGTTTCGACCGATCGCGATCTCAAGTCCCAAGGTGACAGCAAACTGACTGGTTCCCCGCCTCCAGGCCCCTGCGCCTTTCAACGTCAGAGAGTAAGCCATCCGCCCGCCCTACATATCGATATCTCTTTCAAATCCGCACGCAGCCCGACCCAGATATCAACAAACACACATCATGCGAGAACGGTATTCTAACTAGCTTGTTCAGTGTCGGCAAGACCCTGGTCAACCGCACCACCGGTCTCAAGAACGCCAACGATGCTCTGAAGGGCCGCATCTTCGAGGTCTCTCTCGCTGACCTCCAGAAGGATGAGGACCACTCCTTCCGCAAGGTCAAGCTCCGTGTCGATGAGATCCAGGGCAAGAACTGCCTGACCAACTTCCACGGTCTCGACTTCACCTCCGACAAGCTCCGCTCGCTTGTCCGCAAGTGGCAGACTCTCATTGAGGCCAACATCACCGTCAAGACCACCGACGACTACCTCCTCCGCCTCTTCGCCATTGCCTTCACCAAGCGCCGCCCTAACCAGGTTAAGAAGACCACCTATGCTGCCTCTTCTCAGATCCGCGCCATCCGCCGCAAGATGACCGAGATCATCCAGCGCGAGGCTTCCAGCTGCACCCTCACCCAGCTCACCTCCAAGCTCATCCCCGAGGTCATTGGCCGCGAGATTGAGAAGGCTACCCAGGGCATCTACCCCCTCCAGAACGTACGTTTGGTAACCAAGGACTCTGGACGACACCGCAGATTAGCTGACTTCAAGCGCTACAGGTTCACATCCGCAAGGTCAAGTTGCTCAAGCAGCCCAAGTTCGACCTCGGTGCTCTCATGTCTCTCCACGGCGAGTCTGGCTCCGACGAGGCTGGCCAGAAGGTCGAGCGTGAGTTCAAGGAGACCGTTCTCGAGTCCGTATAAAGGGTTGCCGGTACTGGGGAATGATCGCACTGGGCATGGGTTTCACTCGGGCAATACCTCTCTAGGGCTTTGGTCTTGCTTCTTCGTTGCATTGGCATGGTATTATGGTATTAGTCAAGGTAACGAATACCCTCCCGACAATGAGAAAACGGGAATCAAAAAACGATCACAAATGACCAAAAGTCGAGCGATGGTTGAAAATGTCGTTTTTAGAGAAGGGGTGACACTCAGCTCAGCGAATTCTACATGGTTTGGGAGACCTTGCCTGGATACGAAAGCACTCTAATCGTCGTTGACTTGGGCTTGTGGGGCGTTTTAGGGATCTGAATTTCAGCTACGAGGAATCGTTATGAGAAGCAGCCGGAGTCCCATATACCCATGATTTCCCTTGGTTGGCCATAAGAGAGGGATGCACAAGTCGTGGTTGACGGGTGTCCGAGCGAGTAGTCGTATCCAGCAGCAGCATCATGTAAGGCGGGTGGGCGGTTCAGGTCAGCCTCGCGCGTCCCTTGGTGCTTTGTAGTATCAGTGCGTCCAAAGCCAATCCCAGCATGCTCAATATTCACGGTGCGACTTTTTGACTATATGTGATCGTTGCCTCTTATTTGAATCGCACCACGGATAACGGCCCGAGTCTCTCCAATGCCTTGTGGTGTGCTATGTGTGGGCTGGGCCCGTCAAGAGAACCCTCCTGCCCTCTTAGGCTTTTGGTAAAGTCCAGGCTCTTGCATAAGGACGGGAACTGTCATATGAGGGTGCGTGTCGGTGCAAAGCGGCAGCTTCCACTTGTCAGCCAGGCCAGCCACCTACCTACGGGGCGATTACAAGTACGCACCTCTGCGCACTCTCAGTTTCGGGGGGGAGGGGGCCGCAACTCAAGATTTGCAAACGCAAGCCTAACAACAAATTTTTCGAACTCGCTGACGACAGAAGGGATTTCGACCTGGTAATTAAGACGTACCGCAGCATTGTAGCATTGCAGGGTTAAAGAGCATCGCGACTTTGTTTCATCTTTGTCTTCCCGCTTGGAGAACGGGACTTACACGTGCAATTATACCTCTCTTGGCTTGCGCCAGTTCTCAGCAACGACCCCTCCAATGGGAACCTGTGTCAACTGTCAACCGTCGACTTCCACTCCAACCTCGACATTCCTCGACATAGAAACTCCCCGCAATTGCCACCTGCTCTAACGACCTGCTCAGCAACATCACTTCATCACCTCCGAACCAAGTACAGGTCATTTCAACACCTACACTCAGGTCGTTATAGACAGGAGCAAGGATAGACAACGGACGACCAGTTTACTCACACCTCTCCTCTTTTCGATCCCTGTGACCCCGTGGGCTCCCCGTCCAGCCAGATGGCTTCGGATGACGCCCTACCTACGCTCAAGATCCTATTGATCGGGCCATCAGGTGCTGGAAAGTCGGCATGTAAGTCTTTTGGGTCTCTCATCTGTCCCGGGACCGTCTAACCTCACTTGGTGGGCATGGCAAGGAGTTTGATGAAGTGCTTCCTTCACATCCGATGGAAGAGGTGCAAACGACACAGTCATCATGCTCTTAAGCTACAAAGAGCTCGTGCAACATGGCTTATACACACCCGAATATCAAACTTTTGCATGCTGGTCTCTGACAATTCCCCAGTACTCATGCGATATTGTGATGATGAATTCGATCCTGACACGGCCGCTGCGACGATTGGTATCGACTTCAAGGCGAGTTACTGTTCTTCTATTACATCCTTGCCACTCGCTCACATTTGCCCTCACCTGTCCACATATTTTTGCACATGTTGAGGGGTCATTCATAGATTTTGGGGTCTCACACCCTCATTCGAACTGAAGTAGTATCCTCAACGCTTGGTCGTTGGGGAACGTATCCTGCAATAGTATACTGACACAGTTATTGTTCCAGATCAAAAGACTTGCGGTCCGCGGCAAGCCATATCGGTTAACTCTGTTTGATACGGTGAGCAACAACACTCCTTCCTTAGAACTTCATGTTCACACGAGCCCAATCTGAAAGCATCATGTGTACGCTCTCAATGAGCTTGCTACTAACAAGTGAGTCACTGTTGATTCGACAATGACAGGCCGGACAAGAAAGATTCCGAACCCTCTCAACCAGCTTCTACCGTGGTGCCCATGGCGTTATTCTTGTCTACGACATCTCCAACAGAGCAAGTTTTATATCCATGGAACGATGGTTTGACGAAGCCAAAGCCAATACCGTAGAGGACGTTGCTCTGTACCTGGTAAGATTCCTTTCCTTTTTTTTTTTTTTTTTTTTCCTGTTTATTTTTTTTTAATTTCATTTTCTTTTTGGTCCCCTTCTTTTTTTGGCTTTTTTATCCCACATCATGAACGCAACCGTCACATCAGTTCCCGTGATGAAGGAGTCACAAAATATCACTAACATAGTACACATTGAGGTTGGAGCAAAACTTGACAAAGCAGCTCGCAGCCGGGAGGTCACATCCGAGGAAGGCCTAGCACTAGCGGAACAACACGGCGCCAGCTTTTGCGAGGCAAGTTCCAAGACCAGTGAGAACGTCCGCCGCCCCTTTGTGGAAATCGTAAACCAGATCGTGCAGACGCCAGGTCTGCTCACCAACGCCACGGCAAAACGGCGATCCGGGACGGTTGTAGTTGACAGCACCACCAACAACGGCTACTTCTCCCTTCCGACTTGTTCGTGCTAGCGGAACGCATTTTCATGTCTTCTGGCAGCCAACCCACAGCCTGGCTCGTCGGTGGCCGGAGTTGCTGCTCTGCTTAAACACACAGCACACAAGAAACGAGTTCTGATACCCCCAGACTACATGTTTATGATTGGCCACAAACGCATATTTTTGTTAGAGATTTCCTTGATTCGCAAGCTTAAGAGAATGTTAGTTGCTTGTTCTTTCTATCGTCTAAGGTCTATGTCTCATGATGATATGTTTTCCTCAACCTTGTCAGGCATTTTGAAAGCACTGGCTGGTAAACCGGTACTTGTGAACCAGAAGGAGACCAAGAAGCAATGCTTTACCGTCGTCAACCGCCACTCGAGAACAAATGGATGCTCGGGTCATGTCCTGTGTGGGGATAATCCATAGCCTCCACGAATACCTCTAATACAACACTCTCACCTCCGTGTCAACAACAGGAGAGTTTTTGTTTACTCCTTGGGCTCGAGGAACTTTAGAACAGCTGTCCCACAAATGGATCATTAGCATCACCAACATCACACCCAAATCATAGTCCAGCCCAGAAGAAGAGAAAACTCACCCTGCCTAAAAGCCTCTGGATTCTCCGAAATAACCCAATGCCCGCCCTCAACATCCACCAGCTCAAACAGCGGGAAAAACTGCCCAATTAGCGGGATCACCTCATCCGGCACGTAATGGCTCTTTGTGCCCCTGACAAACAGCGCGGGTTTACCGAACCTGACCCTATGCGGATCCTTGAAGGGAAAATCACCCATGTGATCCAAACTCTTGCCAATAATCCCCAACGGATTCCTGAACTGCAGCGTCGGGCTCGGCTTTCCACCGGGATCGACACGGGGCCGGTGCAAGTTGCCCAGAAGGAACTGGCGTACGACTAGATCTTTTTCGTAGGGCTCGAGGATCTTGTCGGCTGCGCTGAGGGAGGAGACGCCGGCTTCTTCAATCTTTTTCAGGCCTTGGATGTACCGCGCAAAGGACGATTGCAAGCGGGCGTCTACCGGCGCGTTGTCAACGGAAATGATATTTTGCACGAGGTCCGGATGCGTGAGGGCAACGGTCATGGCGGCTTTGGCGCCCATGGAGTGTCCGATGAGGGTGGAGTCTTTGAGACCGTGGGAACGGATAAAGGCGGCTACGTCCTCGGACATGGCGGTGTAATCATGGCGGGGGTCGTGGGGGGATTCGCCGTGGTTGCGGAGGTCCTGGTATGAGGTTAGAGTTTTGATTTCTTTCCAAGATTAACATGTATTGCAGATTTCCCTTACAATGGCGAAGATATGACGACCTAGGTCACGGGCTAGTTGTCTTTATGATTATGAAAAATAAAAATAAAAAGTTAGTCATCCAGCCTCATCCGACCGACGTCGCTGATGAGATTCAAGTCAAAAAATCGAATATGATTAAGCAAATCTCACCTGCCAAACATCGAGGGTAAAAAAGAAAGACCGAACGCTCATGAACCGGTGCATAAGGGCTACTCACTTACTGATACTCCTATTGTTTTTCTTCGAGCCAAAAAGTCCATGGATGAAAATGATGGGCTGAGTCTCCTTATTCGGCACCGTAGGGTTCTCCGGTGAATGAAGATCATAGACGAGCGGGACTGTAGAAACAACCGGAGGGACGGTGTTGGTTGTTGTTGACGAAGGAGTAGCGGCAGAAGCGGAAGAGAAGAGTCTTCGGGCCATGACGGTGGCTCGGGCGCCAGCGGCGGCTGAGATGATTGGGATGGTGGTTGAGCAGCATCCTCCTCTGACTCCAACTGCTGAGGCGCCGGCCTGGGCGGCCGCGCGGGCGAAGGCTATTTTCATCATTTCCTGCTTGCGCTGCTTTTCAGGTGGTTCGAAAATCGATATTGATGTGATCCGAGCCAGAGAAGGTGTGATTTTGTCTTTTCAAGATCACCGACTACCACGGATCGGTTAATGCACAATCTCACGCCTTCTGGAAGCATGGAAGTCGTCGTTAGTCATTGATAGCCAGATAAAGATCCACTGAGTGATAAGGGCGATTAGCGCACATACCAAGTACGTCATTCAGTGTACGAGTGGGTACGCCCAAACACCGAGCTCGTTCCCGCCGTTCGGGGTTTAGACCCGGAGAGGTCGGAAGGGAGCACCCCGGCCTGTTCGGTGCGTAACGGTTCTCTCACTCTCGGGCGGTCCCACCAAACCACTCTTCAGCCCACCCAACTTGGTCACCACCATCGTCGGCTGCAACAACGACAGCCTCAACTCATGCCTTTCGGCCGCTAACTTCCCCAAGTTCTGCTTGAACACATATGCACTCTGAATTCACCGCCCTCGGCCCATCCCGCCGGTTGCTTGCTCTCCCTACACCTGGGTTGGTCGGACTGCGCGGAAGAAGGGAAAGTTTTGGGGAGGCAGAGAAGGAAGCTAGCTGTGTTGTCTCGAGCAGTCGTTCAACTGTGGAATTGTTTGAGATCGGGGTTCTTGGCAGTGGCTGGCTGCAATTCAATGTGGTTTTGCATGATATCTGATCCCATTCCCATTTCCTGTTCAGGGGACCGTGGGAACATTTGGTGATGGTTTATTCTGCGGAAAAGGCGGCTTGAACTTGTTTGGCGAGCATATTGGCACTAGTTTGAACCTAGGTACTGATGATATTAACATGACAGAGCATCGTGGTGAAGAGACGAAGAATGCCAAGTCACCCGAGTCTTGTGGAAGCTCGCACCCCCCCCCACCGGCGCTGTATGTACATATTTGGCAGCTTGGGCCACTCGGTCCCGCGGCACACCCCAGACCCCACACAGGATCCCAAAAAAATCCTGGTCCCGTCCACAGGTGGGAGCCCCGCAATTGAGCCTCTTGACAGCGAAGCACAGCGCGACGCGGAGGCCAGAGAACAATCGTGACAGGGGGTGCTTCAACAACTTGAACCCTAGAACACCCAAGCTGCGGGGCCCAACAACCACCGCGACACCATCCTCGGCCGACACTCAGCTGCGAAACCTCAACGTCACCGACAGGCTCCCTTCGACTGCACTTCAGTTCCCTTCGACCAGAAACCGGGTACTTACTACCAGTATCAACACCGACTGGCACATGATCAGCATTAGCCTATAACATCCACGCTCAACTCCCCCAGGAGCGGCCACCACCATGTCAGACTCCGCCATCGCCGCCCTCAATTCCCTCCTTCGTGGGACGAGCATCGACGACCATGAGGAAGCTCTGAAGCTCGCCAATTCCGCCATCAAAGCCGCCAAGGGCAACCCGGCCGACCTGACCACCGCCCAGCACACCCGCGTTGTTGCGCTCGTCAAACTCGATCGCTTCGACGATGCTCTCCGTGCCATTGCCGAAGGAGGCGCCGCCCTCGACAAGACCTGCGTCATGGAGAAGGCGTACGCGCTCTACAAGACCGGCGAGCTTGAGGCTGCCGAGCAGTTGCTGGAGACCACCGGAATCAATACCCGCGGTATGAAGCACCTTGCCGCCCAGGTCGCCTACCGTGCCGAGAAGTTCGACAAGGCTGCCGAGCTGTATCAGGAAATGGCCGAGAACGTAGAGGATGCCATGTACGGCGAGGAGAACGACTTGCGCATCAATATTCTGGCGACTTACTCGCAACTAGAGATGCAGGGCAAGGGCTGGGCCGTGTCGGAGGAACACAAGAAGCTCAGTAGGGATGAGCTCGAGGTCTTTGAGACGGCATACAACGCTGCTTGCGGCAGCATAGCCCAGGGCGACTTCGCCAAGGCTGCTTTTCTGTTCAAGCGTGCCAGGGATCTGTGCGAAGCTTCAGAAGATTTGAGCGAGGAGGACAAGAAGGCAGAACTGGCGCCCATCATCGTACAGCAAGCCTACGTTGCTACGAAGCTTGGTAACTTGGAAGAGGCTGCGAGGTTTCATGAGGAAGTTGTACTCTCTGAGTAAGTTCTACCTGGGAGCTCTGGCAGCGTGAACATCACTCTGACTTTGAATCTTCTAGTATCTCGGACGCATCAACCAAAGCCATTGCCCAAAGCAATGCGCTGATCCTCAAGTCCGAGAGCAACCCATACATGGCTCAACGGCTCGCCGACACCCTCCCAGTAGTAACCGGGAACGACCGTTTGTTCGAGGAGCAGGCTACCATTTTCCGCCGCAACAAGTACATCATTGAGCTCCAAGCGCAAAAGTTCGCTGGCGTCAAGAGCAAGACCGCCAAGATCTTGTCCAAGGAGGCCGAACCCACCATTTCGTCCAGCAAGTGCGACCTAGGCGCCCTCAACGCCGCAGCTGCTTCCGAGCTTCAAACTGGCAAGACAGCTCTCCGCCGCATCCTCCCTCTGCTCGAGACCAGGCCCACCGACGTCGGCCTCCTCCTGACCGTCATCCAACTCTACATTCAACTCCAAAACCCCGCTCAGGCGCTCAACCTCCTCGAAGCCTTCTTCAAGCGCCTCGAGGCCGCCACAGCATCCGAAAACAACGCCGATGTGCGCTTCGCCCCCGGCCTCGTCGCCCTCGCCGTTGCACTCTACCGTCAACAAGGCCGTCACTCCGCCGTCCGGTCCGAACTCGCCAAGGCCGCCTCGCATTGGCAATCCAAGCAAAAAGCCGCCAGCAGCGGCGACTCTCTCCTGCGCGAAGCCGGCATCGAGCTGCTCCGCTCCACGCACCCCTCCGACTTGAGCACTGCCGGTGAGGCCTTCACGCACCTGGTAGCCGCCCAGCCCGACGACCGTACCGCTACAGCGGGTCTAATCGCCAGCTTCGCCACCAGCGACTTCGCCAAGGTGCAGCCCTACCTCGGCGCTCTCTCGCCCGTCGAGAAGCTCACAGCCGGCGTGGACGTTTCCGCCCTTCTTGACGCCGGAGTCGCCGCTCTCCCCGTCGTTAGCCACCAACAACAACAAGGCAAGAAGCGCGCCCGCGAGGACGACGGCGAGACTACTGGCGAACAGCAAAAACAACAACAGCAAGCCGCGAAAAAGCAGCGCAGGAAGAGGAAACTGCCCAAGAACTATGACCCCGCCAAACAGCCCGACCCGGAGCGGTGGCTGCCGTTGCGCGACCGCAGCAGCTACCGGCCCAAGGGCCGGAAGGGCAAAAAGCGGGCGCAGGAGGCGACGCAGGGCGGCTATGTTAAGGGTGATGAGGAGACGCTGGAGCTCGCCGGCGGTGCTGGGTCCTTGAAAGTGGAGAAGGCGAACCCGGCTGGTAGCGGTGGTGGAGGTGGCGGAGGGGGTGGTGTGAAGAAGAAGAAGAAGGGGAAGAAATGAAAGGATTGTGGTGTCTAGGTGTATAAGGGGGATATGAAAAGGGGGCGTATTGAAATTTGATGTTTAGATTAAGACACATACAAGAAGAGTGTATAATACAGACTAAGATTTGATGATTGATGGGTTCGAATCTTGTGTATTCGGCATTCGGTGCTTCGACGTTCCCATCGAGACACGGAGTCCCATCTAGACATTATGTTTGCACGTCCTAACGTTGTTCGAGATGTCAGAAGACGTTTGAGTCAAATCTCGTAGGACGCCATTTCTCTTGCGATTCTCATATATTTCTTCAGCAAAACAAATTCAAAGCCAACGATTAACCATGCCACAGCGTTTGCTGAAAAGCTGTTATATTTCCCCATTTCTTCACATCATTGTGACTACCACCACCACTACTACTACTACGATTGTACTCTTGTTGTGGAACCCATCACTTATCCAGTACTAGCACAACAGGCATATATTAGCATCTAGTTGGTTTATCGGTTCGATTGATCAATGACGTTGTTCGCTCGCTCGCTCGTTTCGTGTCATTGTTGTTCTGGCGTTATATTTTCTTCCGCGAACCCGGGTTGGAAATCGCCCAGTTCCTTGCTTCTATTTTCTGTTGTTGATGTTGTATCATTATACCCAAACCCGCCAGCCCTGTGTTTCCAAATATTCCTTCCATTAGACACCCAATTTTTCCGTAGTCCCGACCATGTATAATATCCGTCTCTTCGTTGAAGAACCAGTACGGAGGCCATGGACAGATTGCCCAAGTCGTCGCAGTCTGTCCTCTTTTCGTTTCGTTTCTTCGAGAAACCCGGTCGTTTCGCTGCCCGATACTTTCTTTCGTCCTTTGTTAAGCTCCCCATTCAATTTCCATCACCGCCCAATTCTCTTCCCACTAATTCACGAAGCCACCTGAACTGGTTTAACACTGCTCGCGTCCCCACCACCACCACCACCAAGCGGCCTGGGTACACCCACCGCACCCCCGCCACCACTTGGGTCAGCGCCACTGTAGATATACCCAGCCGCCAAAATGACGACAACCATGACGCCCAGCCCCATCAACAGGGCTCGCCGGACCGCCGACGGCAAGCCACCTCCTTGTTGTTGACCATTTCCTTCGTCCGAGGACGAGGAAGAGACAGATGAGTAGGCCGGCGAGTTTTCCCACACGCCCCGTAGGAAGGTCCACAACTGGGTAGCGATTTCGACAATCTGGTCGCGGCCGAGGGAGTAGTAGACGAGCCCGGCGAGGGCGATGGCGTAGCCGAGGAACTGCAGGGGGGTGATGGAGGTCTGCCAGATCATGACGGAGGCGACAACGAGAAGGATGTTTTTGAGGATACCGGTGAGGGTCATTACAAGGCCGGAGGTTCTGCCAATCTATTTTTGGGTGTCAAAGTGTTAGCGGACAACAGAGGGGATAGACGACATCGAGTACAGGGAAGGAGAATCCAGAAAAAAAAATAATACGTACAAGACAGACACTGCTGATGTTCAACATGAACGCCACTACGGCGTTTAGGAGAAGACACCAAAGACCCGTGTTGTACAAATCAGCAATGTTGAAAGAGCGGAACTCTGTAAACAACGCAACGACAAAGTTCATCGATGCGCAGACGGGAGCAAAGTAGTACAGACTGACGAGCGGGTCCATCTTCTGACCATCGCCCTTGAGCAAAACCTGAATCATGATGAGCCGCATGGCCTCGAACACGATCCCGCCGAGCTGGAAGAGGAAACCGGTGAGCGAGAAAGCGATCTCGCCGAAGCTGGCAAGCCCAACGCCAAAGACGATGAACAAAACGTTAATCAGCCGTGACTGCGACGGCTGCTCAACGCCCCAGACCCAGGCGGTCAGCAGGACGGCCACGGGCGCGGCGGCCTTGAGCATCTGGATGAAGGCGACGCTGAGGTAGAGGTAGACCATGTTGCTGCAGACGAGACTTCCGCTGAAGAGGAAGCCGATGGGAACGATGGCGCGCAGGTAAAGACGGCCCGTCATCTTGACACTCTTGCGGCCATCGAGGAGGGTGGTTGTCCTGGCAAGGATTTGGGTGGCGATGGTCGCGAAGATGAGATGCCAACATGTTAGGATAGTGGCTGTGAGGTTTCATGGTCAGTTGGCTCCGGTTAATGAAAGCGGTGACGGATTTACCATACGATAACCTATTATAAGAGTCAGTATGGTTCCTATAGGACGTGTACATGTGTGCAAGGGCATGTGTGCACTCACTAAACCTGTCTGGAGCAAGCAACCATTTGTTGAAGAGAATGGTGATATTAGAAAAGAATATCCAACTCCTGTCAAAGGTCGAGTGGTCAATAGCGAGTCCCATGTGTGAAGGCGTGGAAGGCAAAATCCTTACGCGATATAAAAGACTGGATGAATCGACCGCGTAACCGGCTGGGCCTTCTCAGCCTGGGTTTCGACATCATCGGCGGCCATGATAATTGACGACTGGGTTGTTGGTGAACGAAAGGTAGATGAATTATTAACGAGGGTGAGGCAAGGTCAGTGATGGCCACGTCGAAAGATCAGTATGTCGACAGAGCGAGTAATGTGATGTATATCGTGTATCTGATCGTGAACCCCGGACGCAACCCAAACCAAAATAGCTTGTTGCGAACTGCCAAAGTCGTGGCGATATCCCGAAGATCCAAGAGATCAAAGCCAACAAAACCCAATTTCCGATTGATCGGTTGTGCTGCCGATGTCGAGTGGACAAGAGGTATTGAACAAGGTGAGCCGCACACTGACTGAAGCGCGCGCAACACCCCCTTGGTCAAAGAATGATCCCAAGAGAAAGAGAGGACTGGCTGAGGATGGTGAGCTGATCAACCTGCAGAGAGAAGAAGGGACAAGATGGAGAAAAAGAACGGGAAGACGTCGAACAGGATCGGGAAGACCCGACTGGAGAGGGGAAGCAGCCGAGCTGAAGGGTCTTCCTGCTAGAAGGCTAAGATAGCCGTTGCTGTGCCGTTCACGGTGCCGTGCCGCAGGGTTGGAAACAAAGCCGAGGTGACTGTAAACGAGTGGCACTGGAATTGTTTGGCTCTGTATGTTTCTAGTTCTCAGACACGCTCCAAAATGAGACGGGAACGGGGAATGGAGGAGAGGCCAGAAGACCAGCTGAATGGGTGAGCGCTTGGCTGTGCCGTGGTCCGCAAAGGAGTGGGCTCCAGCTCGCTGTTTGACGCAGGGTCTCACTTTCACGATGCAGTCCACACCCCACAAAGTCCACACACAGTCCCAAAACGGTTTGTTCCTGGGGCCTTTTCTTATTTTTTTTTTTTTTTACTTTTTCTTTCTTTTTCCCTTCCACTTGTTCCTCCCCTGCGCCCTGCCAATATCTGGCCTTGCCGAGGCCAAGCTACTGGCGCAGAGTAAGCAGATCGGGACTCTGACCCGTCGTCCAATTGGAGAGAGGCTTGGGAGTGTGTGCGGTTGATTGATTGCCAGGAGCCTGGCGAGAAGTAGAGAGGTACTTTTTGTCTCAAGATGAGACTGGTTGGTTGTCTTCTTCTGCCGAAAGCGTTGTTGTTGATGATGATGATGCCGGTTTCGTTTGCTTGATTTGAGAACGTTACGGCTATTGCCGACTCCAGATATAGATGATGGGGAGCGAACAGATACGCGGATGGTGGTGGGAGTATGACTGGAGACTAGAATTGAGACGGGATGAACGGATGTGTGAATGATTGATGGATTTGTCAAGAGCTGGGGGGCCGGGGGAAGTGAAGCAGCAACTGCTGAGCTGCTGTCAAACACTGCCTGACAGTGACAGTGGGGATGGGCCGTAACAGCAACCTCAACTCCATACAATCAAACATGTGGGGGACGGTGGCAGTATTCAAGAATAAGCACTGGCTCAACAGGCAGCAGCAGCAGCAGCCTCAGCGCAAGGGGCAGAACCAACTGGATGGGATCCTGGCAGGGCACCTACCTAGGCTGGCAAGGGAGGTCCAGGCTCCGTTCCGAACCAAGCTTTACGAGGTGTTCCGTTTTAGACTACATATGTACGAAGTCGCCAAGACAGCAGATCATTGGCCGGGCCCAGGCATCCCTGACCCTGGTCAACACACACATCTCGAACCCAGCAACACCTCCCGTGCCTGATCTGTCGAATGGCTGTGAATTGTGAATCTGTAAAGGTAAACCAAATCCAAACCTCTTTTGGTGTAACGGAGTGCAACGCCCCAGTAGATTAATCTTGTGTGCCCGTAACGGGCAGCCAGTGGGTGGTGGCGGGGCGACGATGCTTCCGTCGAGTCCCGAATGTGCCTTAAGAGGTAGGCCCGAGCAGTGGCTGGTGAGGTTCATAAACGAGGGTTCCATAGGAATATCATATCAATGATGACATTCAACGGGACCTCCTGCCGAGAAACAACTTGACGGTGTCAGGTTGAAGTGCTGCAAGGTCACAGCCCTACAGGCCAACAAGCAGCCAAGAAGACCAGAATCAGTGGGCGTGGTGGGGCAGTGGATGATCCCGGCCATGTTCTTGTCCCATTACTTTTGTCACCACAGTTCTCGCGCGTTCCTTTGGTAGGTAGTGTACTGGCCATTTCTAAACAACAAATGTTATGGCCAAGCCGTGAGGTTCTCCTTCCCGTCGCCTATCATTACACTAGAATATCAATGTCTGAAAGTTGATCGTAGTTAAACTCCGACTTGAAAGGCCCATCACATGCACGCTTTTGTTGCGCCGATCTGGTGCCTGAACATTTTGACGTGCATGGAGGCCGCCCACAACGACTCCTATTCGCCCCTGGCTTGTGGACCCGGTCTATTGACACTCCACCGGTTTACACAATATCGATGTACATACTCGAGCATCGCTCGCAGCTAGGAGCTGGATTATGAAATGAACCACAGACATCAAATCAGCGCCGACTTCATGACCAAAACAGTTATATCAAATCGCTGTTCGTACTACTGTCGTAACTCCTGCTCTACCCTACTTCTACTCACACTGAGACTCCTCCCCAAAAAGCAAAACCTGTGCCTGGAGAGCATTACATGAACCCTTGACGTGACGCTTGGGCATTCGGCATCCGTCCATTTCCATCCTGAACGCCGTCTCGCTATGCAGAAAAAACACGCCCCGGGCCCTGACGCCTTTTATGAAGATACTTCGGACAAGTCTTCCTCACGGTGCCATACCCCCGCTTATAACGCCACCGGCTCAAAGGACTCGAGGACAAATAAATCGGAGCCGAGTTTGTGTACAGGTAGGCCAAGTCCTAATCAACCTGCTCCATGCTCCCCGATGCCGCAACCGAGTCCGCATGCTGGACCTGGACCTTTATGTCCGGCGATTGACCCGTCACCGTCCCGGTCGGCGTTGTCATATCCTTCCCAGCCTCCGGAGCCTCGGCCTTGATCATCTCCACATCCTCCAGTTTCTCTGACCCGACCAGCGTGACCGATTCTGACTGGTCATCGACATGGTTGCCGGGTTTGGCTTGAGGAGATAGGGTCCTTGTTACTTCCCGTTCTGGTATCCGTACCATTTCCGGTTCGACACACTCATAGAACAACATAAAGACGTCCCCTCTTTCAAGCACATTCTCCTCATCTACCTTGAAGACGTCGGTGTCGCTAAGTCGCCACCATTGCGAGGTGGCTTCCTCTTCGTCCTCGCGCATGAGCGTCTTCTCGTCATCTTCCGAGGTAGGAGTTGGGGCGTCTTCTTCGTCCGTGCTATTTGGCTCGCTTATCGACTTCTGGTCCTGGGCCTGGATCTTCGGAGCCGCCACCTCATCATCGGCAACAAGCTGTGGCGGCGGTGTCTCAGGCTGGTTTTCCTTCTCAGGAGGGCTGATATAATGCTTCCTGTAGCAAACATAGTGGCCACTATCGTGCCGTCCCTGGTGCGTGACAACGGCGCGTAATTCATAGAGTGGCCCGCTTAGGGCGGATGGGCGTTGGGAGCCCGCCACCATGGAGGCCGTCGGCTCAACATTCCATTTCTCCTCATCTTCAGCCGTTTGCTCGCCATTACTGGTCGAGCTCGGAAGGACACCGCTTGAACCTTCCAGATCAGCCCGCTTCTTCGCGCTTCCGAGGCACCAAGGTCCTAGATCAAGTATGCTGGGAAACCTGACAGCGGAACTGTCCTTGTACATGTAGCCTGTCCTCTCGTCAAAGACGGACCGGTTGATGTGAATAACCAAGCTCTTGGGTGGCCGCGAAATTGCCGTCTGCTTTGTCTTGGTCGACTCAACTCGCTGTTTAGCCGGAACCTTGCACTTCTCAGCTAGCGTCTTGTCGTCAAGCATATCTTCTTCAAGCGCCTCTTCTACCGCGGCTAACCTCTCGCGAAACTCCGAAACTCTGGCCTCGTCGGTTGCGACCATCCCTATCAGACCCTTGATCTTCTGTTGCATCTTGAGCAGTGAGCACCTGGGACAGTGAACGCCTTCGATAAACTCAACCCGGGCATTGTAGTCCAGCCTCTCGTAAAGGTCATAGCCAAGTTGTCCAGAGCCAAGGTTGAGAGTCAAACAATTGAAGGGGATCATTGTCAGCCCTTCAAAGTGATTGCACTTAACACAAACTACCCTCTGGGCAATGAGCCCCTCGAGTGGATTCCTAGACAGCTGAATGTCGGGAACAGATGAACTTTGACTGGAGCTATGGTAGCCGCTATCATCACTGTGGTGGCTGCTTACGCCGTCGTCCTGCGGTAGGTCGCCGTCATATGCCAAGGACTTCTTGTAGGTTGCTGTAGCCTTGGCCACCTCCCTGTCGATTTGGTCCAGCAGCTTTGAAAAGTACTCTTGTGCGTCTTGCTGTTGCCACGTGCTCATGTTCTTGAGTACATTGGGTGGCCATACAGATCGCCCATAGTTGGCTTTGTCGTTGAGTGTTGCGATGAGCCCAGCCATTGCTTGCGTGGTCGGCATCGTCGACTTGGCGTTGCTACCCAGCTGAGATACCCGGGCCAGGTACTCGGGCAAGCCCTGGAGCGAAGCAAGGCCCTGGAGAATGCTGTTCTGGTAGCATGAGTTGTCGTTGTTCCCTAATCCTGCCGGACGATCTGAAGTGCTGTTTTTGAAGTTCCAGCCAACGCTGGACAAGGTGCTGAGGCCCTTGAGCCCAGCCGAAGTCACGGATTCCATGACGCCTCCTGGCTTGTCCAGACCCAATATCCTTCCCAGAGCTTGACTTTTGGCTTCATGCGAGTTGTCTATTTCTGCGGGCGTCATAGGCCTGGGGAACAGTGGCGGGTTGAGGAAGCCGTCGACTTTGAAGAGTAGAGTGGCCGGAATGATATCGACCACGCGGGCCCAGATAATGTTCTTTAAGCGTGTACAGGTGTTCCGATCGCTGAATAATAGTTGATAAAGGGCGGATAATAAGAGGAGGATGACGGAGACGATAATAGTCGGGCTGGTCACGTAGTCCCGGAGTTGGCGATCAGCTGGGTAGGCGTGGTAATAGTTCTGGGGATGGCTGGGGGCCCGGTGTGGGTGGTGGCTTTGTATGCGTCTGGTATCTGAATTCATAGCTACTTGGGAAAGAGATAGTGGGGGAAGACCTCGGGGGACTCCTGTCGTCGATGCGATTGAAGCTAAAGCTGCTGAGAAGGAGAAGGCGGAATGGTCGCGTGGAAAGCTCCGATGTCTTGGTGCCTCAGTCGGCCGCTTCAAAGACTTGACAAACGGTAGTGCTGACGACGAAATCGGGTGCAAGTCGCTTCCATGACGTTTCCAGAAACGGGCTGTTTGAGTAGTTGGAAAATGGGTGCGTCAAGGATAGTAACGTCTCTTTTGAATTGAGTGTTGTCGAGGACGGGATCGGAGGTGGGTGAGTGCTTGGGGAGTCGGCAGCTACAGTACTGTTGCGTTTCGACAGCTGGAAATTTGGGGGAGCAAGTGGACGGGAAAGAATTGACGGACACCTTTTGCTTGTGACTTTCGCTAAGAGGTACCGCTAGCCCAGGTGAGGTGACGCTATCCTCTTTCGAGCCTGCCCCGGCTCCTTGGTCCCTTTTAGTGGGCCATACACGGAAACAAAGGTCAGGCACTCCTGTCCTCGCCGGTCCAACCAGAGAACTCTTGGCGCAACGCGTGGGGCAGTGGAAGCTGCAGGTCGAAAAAAAAGTTCCCAAGTGACATCCAAACTTCACGCCCCTCCACAGAAAACGAAGCCCCCACTGCATTGGAAGGGTCGAAGGGCTGAAGGGTCTCACCGTGACCACCTTTCGCGATACATCACCGGGTATGCACCTTGAACTGACAGATTCTTCAACTTCCAACCAGAATCATCAGTCATAGAAAAAGAAAATGGCCAAGGGAACTATCGGAAAGGCCAACAAGGCGGCAGGTAATGCGCCCCCCCTCCCCCATTCTCAAACTAACAAAACCTATCAATTACCATTCCACCGTGCAGTAACTACTTGATCTAACACCACGTTGCCTTCTTCCAGCTGTCCGTAAACATTCTCGTGCCGCCCGCCGCCAAACCTCTCCCGGCATCGACCTCGACAAGTCTCTCAAGGCCGTCCGCCCTCCCCAGGAATCCGTCAACCTGCGCCCGACCGTCCTGGCTGCCCACCACAACAGCGGCGTCACCAAGAAGAATAAGAAAAAGCAGCTGTCGTCCAAGGCGCGCAAGAGGCAAGAAAAGAGCATGGATCGTGCCGAGGCCATCATGGACCGCACCTCCACAAAAGTGGCCAAGAGCCACGGCAAGGCCAGAGTGATTGAGTCGCGCAAGCGGACGTGGGACGAGGTCAACGTGGTCGCACTTGCTGAGATCGGCAAGGAGTTGCCTACAAAGAAGGAGAAGAAGGCGGATAAAGAGAAGCGGGCTGAGGACGAAGTTGTTCGCGCGTTCTATGCTGATGATGATGAGGATATGGATAAGGATGGCGGCGAGTGGGAGGATGATGTCGAGGGTATGGATCAGAATGCGGCGGTCGAGAGTCTCATGGCTGCGGCGACGATACCGGCTGTCGCTCCGGTGATGCAGGATGATGACGAAGAGATTCTATGAATGTGCACTGCAACGGGGACAGACGGATATGGGTGATGGGCTTTTCTTTGTAATGTAAAAGGGGCATCAACAGTTGCGGATGGGTTACTGGCGTTCAGGGATATTCTGTTGTTTTGCCTATATACCACGGCGGCCGGGTTCGCCGACGAATATTGGGTTGGGTCGGGGTCATGTCACGATACGAATTGGAGAATTTTCGGATTTGGTCCATGAATGTCATATCAGGATCTAGGGGTTCATGGGGTCATATCGGCCTCAAAGTGACTATACTCTGAAAAGGAGAAATATTGAGAACAGGTGAGGATGATGCCCCTGGGTTGAGTGCTCAGTGTCAGTATCTTTGACGAGAATGGCAACATTTCGGGATTTAACTGGAGATTATGCCCGATCGGTCCTGCTACCTAGTTGGTGGTGAAGTGCAAGTGTGTGAAAAGACGGATGCTGTGTTTCTGATAACTCTTCGAGTCATCCCTAATATGTCTTCACAGTATCACGATATTATGAGAAGAGCAAACATGTTATATGGTAATGATGCGGGAGTAACACTCGGATTACAGGAAGAACTACCTGATAGGCCACGAAATATATTGGTCAATGTCCAAAAGCGCACACCTGCTGATATATCGGATCGCCACGCTCAATCACCCACGTTGATGCCCAGACGAGTCCATCGTCTCACCAACATCCCGCCATCGCTCACATAACAGCATTAGCACAAGCCCCAAGCATCTAGTTGAGTAGCAACGTGTAACCCAAACACCGTTTGGTCCATCTAGGTGAGCCTGCTTGTCCGGCTGGGCGATGACAACATCTTCACGTCTTGGCATCAGGCACTTGGGCAATGATACAATAATGCCGATCAAGCTACCCCCTCCCATTTTACCAACCAGTTGGCTCGGTCACCCGACTCGAGTTACGGTTCGTCTGTTTGAAGAGATCGCGGGAAGGGGGAGCCAGGAAAACCCAAGAAAAGAAAGACGTCAATATCCTGGCCTTGTGACGCCACCGGTTTAGCTGAGGTGATTTTCCGTCAGATAGACCCTTGAACTAGAGGAACAAAATATTTCTTCTAATTCGGGCAGAGATCATGGAACAACTTTCTATTACATGTGCCAGTTTCTCCTTCATCTTCAAAATCAACCTTCAGATGTGTAATTGCGCATACACAGAAAAATCCATGCTAATCGTGAGTATTATATCATACATATGTGCATGCCTTTTGCCTGTTGTACATCAGCTTATATTAGGTACTTATGGACATGTTCCCCAACTTTGGGCATAATGGCTTTTCCCGTCTTTACCTTGACCTTGTTCTATCGCAAACTCACATCCAGCTTGTCACCCTATGCACCTGCCTCACCAACGGCTTTTCCATGACTTCCTGAGCTCTTGAAACCGACCGACCAAGCAAGCGAATGCTAGAGACCAAAGCAAGAATAATTTCCATACCGTCGAAGCGGTACCCTCCCTATCCTCCGGCTTCCACTCAATACCCCCATTCTTGGCCATTTCAAAGCTGCAGCGGCAGTATGCTGCCAAAACATCAACACCAAACTCCGCAATCACCCCGACTACCACCTCACGCGAACGGGGATTTGGCCTTCAAAAACGAGTCCGACAAATGAACCATTGGTATAACAGTGTTATAATTGTTGTTGGAATGCTGCAGTATAAGCGGCGAGAGTGTATGAAGATTATGATGTAGCCACGTCATAGCAGCACGGCTGACCCCTTCTCCAGATTTTCGCTTCTTTCTCTTGCTTCTTGTCAGCCGTGCCATGCGTCATCCGCTGCCGAAAGTCGACTGGTCGCTGAACATGTCATCGGGCATGTGGTCATAGTTAATGTCCGGCTCCTTTTTCATACCTGGAGGGTTGATGTTCGAGTAGCCACCGTTGGCGCCACAGGGAGGTGTGTATAGCCCCGAACCTGAACCTGGTTGCTGATGAGTTGGAGGAGTGGTGTTTGTAGGAGGAGCAAGTATGCCCGGTGACTGACCGTATGTCAATCCGCCGCCGCCGCCGCCGCCGCCGCCGCCTTGCCCTTCTGCGCCTGGTCGAAGAACACCGAGCTGGACCCCCGGCATTGCTGGGTAATTTGGAGCGATGCTTGCGTGTCGGCTTTTGGGTGATCCTGGTACCCCAGGGACGCCCGCAGCCTGTCCAGATTGTCCCAAATTGGCAAATGTTTGACCGAAGGCGTCGCTGGTCTGCACAAAACGTCGAGCTTCGTTTTCAAGCCACAGGTCGATATTGCGATCATTGCACTTGGCATGTACCATCAACTGATGCTTCAGATCGCTGACCTCGCTGAGAAGGATGCCGTATTCCCTTTGCAAGCTTACGTTTCTTGCTTCGAGGTTGATTTTGGTTCCCTCTAACTCCTGGGTGTACAGCTTTTTCTTCTCTCGGCATTTGCTCGCAGCTAGTCGATTCCGTTCGAGGAACTTGTTCCTCTTGTGGTCATCCTCTTCCATATTAGGGTCCTTTTTGCTCCTCTGTTTCCTCTTTTTCGGCGGGTCTTGATCTGGCGGCGTTATATCCGTGGACGTGCTACCTGACTTGGACGATCGATGAGAGTGTGTTTTGTTGCTCGAGGACCGTCGGGTGGAACCCTGTGACATGACATCTGAAAGACAGCTTGTATTTGCGTCGATACTGTCACGGACCCCCTCTAACCCGTTGACATGTTGATCTCTTCCTCCGTATAGGCCCGGGTCAACAAAGAGGCTATTATTCGTTTCCATGGCGCTGGGTTCTGCGAAGCCATCCCATAACCCCGGCCGCTCCCCTAACGTTGGACCATCGCCCGATATTGGAGATTGGTCGATGGATAGCCTGTGATCGAAAACATGGTACGACTGAAGCCCGGCTTCGCTCATGCCTACATCAGGAGGAACATCTTGGGAAATATCGTGAGAGATGTCGTGGGGGATCTCGTGGGGAACTTCATATGGGACATCATGGTCATCCTCTTGAAATGGGTTGGAATCCTCGTATGCCAAGGAATCGCTAAAGAAGTGTGACGGAGTGTCCATGGCGTTCTGGTGATTCTGGTGGGGGACTAGCGCTGGTAAACGAGTTAACTATCAAGAACAGCAACGAGCGTATCGGGAGAAACTCAGCAGGATGATGAGGAGGGGATGCAGGTACAGGAGAAGGAACTCGGAAGCACTAGCTGGGCGGCGTCAAGGCCGGGAGACAACGGATGTTTTACTCCGGGCCTGAGCTCCGGCCCTCCTGGAGATGGAAAGACCGGGCGGCCGGGCGATTGCCCAAGCCTTGAGCATGCATCTGCAATCCAGCCGAACCACTTCCGCTTGAACACAGATTCAGCAACAAGTCAAGGGAGAATGGCAAAACTGGACGAAGAGGAAAACATGTTGAAGCAGGCACGCAGAGGAATCAAGAGTGTGCGATGCGACTGAGGCTCAAAAGGGACATGATCTTGATCGTTTTTGCAAAGGGAAAGTGGTGCCCAGGTTGACGACATACCAGGAATGGAAGGTAAATCTATGCGTCTTGGTGGAAGAGCTTCCACTTGTTGCACAAAGGGCGGGCACCTCAAGTCGATGCCAATAGCCCTGTGTACCTTGATGGCTGCTACCGCCGCTATGTGTGGCTTGGCAGCCCGGATGTCTGTTGATGGATGTACAATCCAATCGGTTGCAGACAGAAATGATCTGGGTATGGGGCGTGACTGCCTTACCTGAAGGCAGTTTTCGGTCTTCAAACACGGCCCGTGACCAACACCTGCCGAGGTTGTTACTTTGATATGGGAACTGAAATAAAGTCGTCTTGTTGGTTGGGGACGAAACCGGAGCGTTGTGTGACCGGGCTGGTTCACTCTCGCAAGTAGAAGAAGACAATACGCCTTTCTGTATCGTACATTTCTGGGAGCCCGGTTGTCTGGGCACCCGAAATATATCAAAAGCTTGGAAGGAGGGTTCGAAAAAAAATGGAATGCCAGTTATCGAGACAAAGGGTGTGCTGTCTGGCAGAAGTTCGGGGCGCTCGAAGGTCAAGTGAAGCCAAAAGACATGGTTATCTTTCCAAGTTGGTTGGAAGCAATGACTAACAGTCAAACCACAGCCCGGAAAAGAAAAATGGATTTGAAATTGAAATTGAATCTTGCTGGTGAACAGGCGAGTATGATGAAGGACGAAAGCTCGGATGCCAAGCTACGTTGGTGGAGGCAAGCAGGCGGAGGGAGGGTACCTCTGTTCTGGCACAACATCAAGCAACAATGGCCGTACCTAATGCTTTTCCGTGCTACCCCCATTTTAGCGTGGCGGACTGAGCAGGCCGGGCAAGCAGGAAAGGAAAGACACAAAAAAGAGCTCGCCTCTAGGATTTCAAGGATGGTAGACCGAGGAGGTTGTGCTGGTGGATGGACTGGAACGACAGACGGATGCTACCTGTGACTTGTGAAGCTTTGGGGCGGGCAAAGCCCAAGCTCTGAGCTCTCCTCGACCCTCTCTGCTTTGTTGGCCTCCCAACCACAACAGTCAAACGATCCTAGCCGAGGTGAGGAGAGAGCTCGATATGCAGGATAGCTCCCTGCTCGGAAGATACCGTGCCTGGAGGTGCGTTGGTCGCAAACGTACGAGGGAGCTCGGCCAGAGCTTCACTCGCTTCATCCGATCTCCAACCCCTCAGCTAGATAGTGGTCGTGTATGAGGGGCGATGCGCTTTGGCCTGGATGAGGAGGTGACTCGTTGGACTGGTAGGCCGGCAATGAGACCCATCGCCTTTTGGAATGCCTCTTGGAAGACGAGAGCGGAGAAGAGGAGCCGCCAGATGTCTCAGTTTAGGAGGGTAGCATCCCGGCCCTGATCAATGTAACATTGCCTTCCATGATCCGGGCAGCTTGTGACTTGGAAGCGTCTAAGCTGTTTACGCTGCACAAGAACGCGTTAGCTCCAGACACCCACACATTCTAAGGTGCGGTAGGCTTCTAATTGGCTTGCGGTACTGTCCAAGGCGAGTCCAGTCCAGTCTGCCAGGCCGAGGTCAGGTTCAAAGTTCCCGCCATGGGAAGACAATGGGTGAGACGTTACCACGATAAATGGCACAGAGAACCGGTCAGCCATGGGAAATCAAGAATCTCCATCTGATCAATGTAGTGGGCAGACTTGGGTATTCTGGTGGCTTAAGCCTCAGCAAACCGAAATGTTGGTTTCCAAAAGTGCTTTGCCCTGGTCGTACAAGGCGGGGTTGTAAGTGATCATGGAGGAGAGGACATGGGGAAGCTGAGTGGACGAGAGCATAACGTACACCTCCACTGTGTAAGTTTGCTCTGTGTTACCTTCCCTTCCCTTCCCTTCCCTTTCCCTTCCTTTCCCACCATGCCGAAAGGCTTGCTGTAGATCTGATCTACCTGCGGCATTGAATACAAGCATCTCCTCCCGGCGGGCTTCCGACATACCCTACTGCGACTTCGGAAGCATCGGAAACGCCGCGAAAACAATATTTAGTACATACCCTAAGTGGCTTACGTGCATTAGCGTTGCTGCATATAGGCAGGGCAACTTACTTGACATGATTCATCAAGGTACGAAGTGAGAAGATTGATTTGGGGGTTCCTAGTAACTTCCCGCGACCAGTTGGGGGCTTTCTGACGAAGGTGTGAATTGAGTCGATTCTGGTATGGCGCAATCTCGAGCCACCATTTTCGCGACACCAAAAGCCATCCACGAAACCCTGTCCCTGGCCGAGCGTGCATATCTGTCAGGACGTACTAGTACCGAGCAGCTTGAATGGAGATCATGCTACAAAGTGGAATGATACCGCTGCCATACAGCTCTTTGTGCAGCTTCCATCTCTTTTGCCACCTCTAGCACTTTATTCACCAGCATGTGGGGACGAACGTATAATCTGGGCATCCTTTTCCCGAGGCAACTTCGTACCAGCATAGTGACCGGGCATTGATAGATGTTTAATTGAGGACTTGAATAGATGCTTGATTGAAGACTTGGTAAATGATTTGTGCTCAAGCTCCAGCATCAAATTGAATGCATGCCATCTAAAGCTCAAACTTTCCCCGTGAGAGAGCTGGAAGATAAGCGGTGTCGAAAATCTGGACTCGACTGGATTCCTGTCGCTTTCATGGGAGTTCTCAAGAAGACCTGGCCAGTCCCCTGGATGATGCTGTCACACACTATGGTGAGATGGGTAAGTAGGTACTGTAAAAACCCGAGGGCCGGGTCGCTGACGATCGCTGATCACACAGTGTCCTGGACAAAAGTCATAACTTAGCTTTGCCTATGGTGGTTCGTGCTCGGTACCTGACAAGGGGATTTGACTTTGACTTGCAGCCACAGCATCACCGGTGATTTAAACCGTGGCGGAGCCGGATTCCGAGTGAGCGAGTTCCCTCCAGTCCAATTCGCCAGTCATATCTTTCCATGCCCCCAGCTCTAGATTTCCTGAAGAGAAGAAGAAAAAAAAAAAAAAGAAACCCCCCAAAAAAAGAAAGGGAGAAAAAATAGCCCGATGGTGCCAAGACAGACGGCAAGTTTTCATCCCAAGATGGAACCGCCTAGACGAAACCAAGGGATGTCACTGAATGCTGCACAACAGGACGTTGTTCTGGAGAAGTTGAAGTTGAGTTGCTCGCGCGGATCGGGACCCGCATCTCCACCCCGCTGATAGGACGCTAAATGGTGGGGCTCTTAGGCTCTCTTCTCCCCGCCATCCCCACAAATTGGAATGCCGTGGGGCTCTCGACCCCCTGTCGCTCACAGGTGCCGACTGTACCGCACATGGTCTGAATTCCAAGGAAGCAGCCACAGTGCAGGCAGCAAGTAAATACATGCGAATTAAACAAATATCGTGCCTCACTTAAATTGCTGTTGTCGCTTCGGTATCGGACGCGCTTTCGACTGTGACGTTGAAATTCTAGTCCACAGAAAGGATGTCCTCCTGGGTGTTGAAGAAGGACCGCGCATCAAACGATAACCGGCACGGCATTCATACCCCGGAAGCAACGACGTTCGTTACTTCAACTTGAAACCCTCTACCGTAGAAGCCCCCATAGCTGCATTATCCAAGTACTGCATAAGCACCAAAGCATTCCCTCTTACCGCATACCAAGGTTTAGTCACGAAACCCCGTCTCCCACCAAAAGCCAGGTCACTGATCTGCATACATTCCAGTTAGTGCATTACTCGCGGCTGTTCCCCATTGTCTGAATAACATGCAGTTTCAGGGCATTTCACTGTACGCAGTACATGGCCCAGTGCCCCGCACGTAATGAGACTCCTTCTCCTACCAACATCACACCAAGCAACCGCACTGAGCTGTTAGTACATTCACAGCAACAAAACCAAGACCATCATCAACCAACCCAAATAAACAACAAAAAGTGTATCAGAACCTCACAACCTCACTCACGACATTGACCTTTTTGCTCCGCAAACCCCAACTCTCCAACAACACCAATAACACAACCCCACCACTCAATCACCACCACACTCTCCAAATCTACGCGGACTCTTCAGCTCACGGACACACCGAAAAGAGGGGGAAAAATGGACAACAAATCTTCCACCCCCCGCATCACCTGCGCCTATCTCAGCCAGTATGTCGGCAAGCTCGTGACGGTCGTAGGCAAAGTTGTCCAGCTACGCGGCGAGGAGGCGACTATTGACGCTGATGGGACCATTCATGCATTCTTGAACCGCGTACGTCCGGATTCTCGCCTTTTTTCCATTGGTGCCACCAAACTTTAAGAATAAGAGACGAAACGAAGGCTGTTAAGAGTCATGATGGATTGGATAGTGTCCCGTGGTGGCTAACCAAAACATGTCGAAAATTACAGGAAGCACACCTCTCAGCAAACAACGGCGTCCAACTCATCGGCAAGGTCAACCCGGATCTTTCCATCAAAGTGCTTAGCTCCGTTGATTTGGGGCAGGGTGTTGGTGAGTTTCTTCCCCATCCCCCCCCCCTTCTCTTGTGTCCATCCCTCATCATCCATCCTCCTCCCTTGATCGCTATACCTCTATCTACACCACTGTAGATATTACGTGTGCTTACGCATGGAACAGACTACAACCTAGCAAACGCTGTCGTGGAAGTCACTCATCGTTACAAGCCCCTCTTTGTGTACGAGAATTAAGGTGAGAGGGCGCGAGGAAACCACTACACCCAGAAAAGGAGGAAAAAGAAGAGGCAAAAAAGAAAAAAAAAATTACCCAACTATAACAAATTGAACCAAATTCCTCAAAACCTTCATCCGAGTTATACTTCGATATTCGTCACCAAATGTCGAAATAGTCCAAGCGTTGCGACCGCAGGCGCCACGCACACGCAAGACGCGGCGGCACTGCGGGGAAACGAACATTGCCAACCAACTTACTATTATCATGCCTGCTTCGACATGGCGGCAGCAATATCTATTTTCTTGCAGGAGCAGCTCAGCGGAAATAGAGAGCAAATGTGGAGAAGGAATTCGATATGCGACAGTCCCAACTGCTATATAATTGTGATGTAATTCAGTTGTGCTCTGGGTACGAGACTCGGACTGCAGACTGCATAGGAACAGATGGCAGACAGCAAAAAGCAAGACGAGGCAAAACAAAAAGGTGAAAATAAAAGTGAGAAAAACGCTTTGGTATCCCATATCCCAGCCCATCCCAATCAGTATTGCGCCCGAAACACCCATTTCACTTTCCCCTCTTCACAAATGCGGCGAGTCGCGCGTAGCGTACAAGAATAATCATCCCACTTTTCGTTGAGGGTAAATCGTAGTGACCTTTTGTTTTGTGTTTTTTTGCGCCCACGCTGCGAAACATGGATTTCCTTCTCTCCCAATCTGGAATCAGACCATAACCGTGCCCAATCAATGCAACATCATTCGTATCTCAATCACACGAGTTGCGAGATCTGCGGATGGATCTCGCAGATTATCGAGATCCAAGCTCAACTGTTCTCCCAGGGGGGCTCCGGCCCCTGCCCCGACTGCGACTGATCATTGAGGCCCTAACTCAACTCATCCACATCAGCAGCGGCATTCCTCTCCGCCTCACACCCTCCTCCTCCGCTCGTAGCCGTAGTCTCCACCCACAAGCTTTCGATGCTCAACGACGCCTCGAAGCTCAAATTGCCATTGCCACCATCTCCATGGTGATGACCCCTCATCATAGGCGGGGAGCTAGCCATGACCATATCGGTACCCATGAAACTGCCAAAGTCCAAGGCACCCGCGCCCTCCACGAGTTGCTGCACGCTGTCGCTGTCATAGTGCTGCATATTAACGTCCAGAAGCCCGTGCGATGACGAGTTGGCGGTGAACTGGTCAGCTTCACTCAACAGCTGGTTCAGCGAGCCCCAAGCCTCAAAGTCGTGGGTTGGAGACGAGGTAGGCACGTGCAGGCTGTCGTCAAGCGCAAAGCGTGCGTGGCGGGGGCTTCGCCGCTTGGACGCGCTAACGAGAATGCCTCCGTTGCTACCGGAGACAGTACGCGTACCGCGCGGAGTCTTGGTGGGGGTTCGTTGGGTTTGCGTAAAGAGCTGACTGGGCGACTTCTGCGCCGACCGGACGGTACGGATGGACCGAGATATACTCCTAGTAATGGGCCGGTGATTCGGAGTCGGCCGGGTAGGCGTCTTGAAGATACCCGAAGAGGGGTTCTTCGGGGGTGGTGTTGACGGCCTGACGACTGGACTGCCGAAAAGTTCTTGGTCAAGCTCGTCCTGGTCCGCAAGGACAGGGGTATTGGGGCGCCTTGCCGGCTGGTGACCGATGTTTTCCTTGCCCATGGCAGCAGACTTCGGGTCTTGCGACGCAGTGGTAGCATTGACGGCGTTACCTATGAGCTCCCCAAGGACTTTTGGCGCTCCCTCCTTCCTAGGTGAGGGGAAGAGAAGCCTTCTAGTAGTGCCAAGATCATCCTCTACTGCGATGGGGCTGTCCGCCGTTCCACTGCCCCTAGAGTGAGTTGACCCGAGCCCACGTCGCTTTGGGGAGCTACGCGAGTTTAAAATCATCTGATGCAATGATTGATTGTTGTTGTTGTTGTTGTTGTTGTTGCTGTCCTCCATTGCGGCCACGTTCTGGTGCGTCGGTTGAGTCATATTTTGATGTTGCGCCTCTTCCGGTGATTCCTGATCGGCCGGTCCGATCGGATCAGTCGTGAAATATGCCTCCGATGTTGGGTTTGTCTGGGTGTCATTCTTTCGCTTTTTGTTGCGCGAGTTTTTCTTCTTTCGGGGCTGATTAAGTCGGGCGGCATCCTTGTCCCACCTGTCCTGTGGCCTATGAACTTTGAATTTGGCGAGCCAGATACCGCATGGGTTACAGAGGAGAGTTTCCTTCCATATTTTCTTGTCGTCCGTGGGCCCGAGATTTTTCTTCACCAATTGGTACATGATAGTTTGTCCATCGGCATCCTTCTCGAGGATATCGATCGTCGTCACAAATCCAGGTTTATCGGAAAACTCGTAAAGACCAGGAACTCCTCGATGATCTTGCGTCCAAATCTTCCGCCAGGTAGGAGTTTCTATGGCGCCACAATTGTTGCAAAATGGCGGCGACTCTCCTCTTTGAATAGCCTCCTCCAGTTTCTCCTTAATTGACTGCTTCTTCACCATATTTTTGTTATAGCGAGGCGGTTCTTCGGGCTCGCTAGGTTCCTGTAGGGCAGGTGCACGAGCCCGAGCAGAGGCTTCAGACTGTACTGCTCGGGATGACGTTCCAGTAGATCCCACAACGGGGTCGCTGGCCGGGACAGAGCTGTTCGAGACGGGCTTTGACGCTGGTTGGGCTGCTTTGCTCTGAACAGGTTCGGGTCGTTCAGGAATGGGCATCACAGTGGTAGCAGGGACAGGAGCTTGTGGCTGAGCTGATGTGTTTCCCGTGTTCTGGGTCTCGAGTTCTTGCTGAGGGTTGAACGGCGGCCGATGTTGAGTTTGAGAGCTTTGCATATCTGCCTGTGAGGGTTGGGAAGCAGTCCCTTCCTGAGGAGCTTCGCCATCTTGCTGATCATTAGGTTGTCGCGATAGGGGATCACGATCGGACAGTGAAGGGTTTGGGGCTGTATTCGACCTCTTGAATGGGCGATCCGCGTTCTTTTTCGGTATGGGTGGGACTGATGTGGCGTGTGCGACTCTGTTCAGCGCCTTCGTCTTTCCAGCAGGGTTGAAGATGCTCTTCGTGGGCAAAAGCTCCTTTGGTCCGGGATTGACTTCTTGGAAGGGGAAGTTGATACCCTGTCGATGGGCCTGGCTCCCCTTTCGTGCATTTGGTTTGCTGACTTGAGGTACCGGAGGGCTCATCACCGTTCGATCTTGAGGCTGACCGGGTAGCTCTTGGCCGTGGTCTTGAGGAGCATCTTGTAATAGCTCATCCTCGTCGAAGATGTCGTCAAACCCGCCGCTCATGAAGCCGGAGTCGACTTGTGGCATAGGAACGGGCATAGGCGGGAGAACTGGGCTTGAAACATAAGGACTTGAGTGCATGTAGGCACTAGTCCTGGGAACCGGAGGGGATGATGCAATATCGGCGGGACTATCTTCAGGCACGTAGCCTTGATCTGGTGACTGGCCGATGGAGTCGGTGGGTGACCGGGCATCGTGGCTTATACTCCTCTGCATGGTTTGTTGACCGAAGCGCGACTGGTACATGCTGCTCTCTGCATCACCCGCAAAGTCAGACTTCATTTTATTCTCGAAGATGAGCCTTCTCTGTTGTCGCTGTAACATTGACCCGTCTGGAACAGGAGTAGGAGCCCGAGGCACGTCCTGAACATGACTCCCTGAAGAGGGATTACCACCAGCTCCAACAGGCCTCATGTTACGCAGAGAACCGGATGTACTGGCCGCAACTCTCAATGACTCTGGGGCTGAACCAAATGGCGCACTACTAGTGAATTCGGCACTGGTAACCTTGGCTCTCTTCTTTTGCGGGCCATCATCACCATCAGTCGCTTCCTCGGCGGCTGACGTATTGCCTGCTTCGAGAGGCTTTTTGCGCGGTCGGCCTCGTGGTCTGCCAGTGGGAGCTCTGGTACGGGACGCTCTACTAGAAGGTCTCGAGGTGGAACGCGCCGACTGGGTGATGGGGATCTCGACAGACTGGCTGGGAGCCGGGGATGAGGCGCTTTCGCCAGTAGGGGCTGGCCGTGGAGGAACAGGCTGGACGGGCGGCATGCTGTTGACCACGGGACCGGTATGTTGTGGCTGAGAACCGTTTGGTGGTATGCTGGCTGGCCGAGGGGGTTGTGGAGACGGATCACTCATATAGCGACCATCACCGTTGAGATTGACGTTCAGCGGAGCGGTAGACATGGCGGGCGAGTGCATAGAAGCCATATTGGCCGAGCTCCCTAGGCCCGGGTTGGACTGTATGAATGAGGCCCACTCAGATGTGGTGATGTCTGTAGGCTGTATGGGGTCCGACCTGAGCATATTATTAAGGTTGTTATCCATGTCAGGAAACTCGAGTCGCTGCATCTTGGCAACGGCTGTGAGCTTCATCTTGACCTCCAGGGTCTCGCGGCTTCCATTGCTAAACACGGGCAACAAAGTCCGAGTTACCCGTCCCGTCACCAGTTGCGGTTGGTGGTGCCGTTGGCTGTTGTGATCGGTTGCTAACTCCAGGCCCCACGACAACATGCCTTGCCCGACCAGGGGCGTATCCGGCTCTGAATAGTCGACAGCATAAACAGTGTAATCGTTCTCTTGTTGGTTTACAATCTCGGGGCTGCATTGCGCAATAGCCTGAAGACATGTTCGGAGGTCCACCACGCCGATTGTAGTCCTCTCGTCGACTGGTAATATTTGAATTTGGAGAATGTGAGCCCACCGGGCCAAGCACGACACCTGGCTGTCTCGATCGAAGGTGTACAGCACCTTTACTATACATCAGGCTGGGTTAGAGCGCACAGATCGGCGGACAGGTTCTCAGGGTGCACTCACAGCCCATGGGCCTGACCTGCATGGCCAATTCATCTCCCTCCATTGGCTGGGCAGCCTGGTGATGGTGAGGGTGTGGTGAGGGCGCAGACCACATGTTGTTTGGGGTAGCCATTGTGACGTCCTTCACGCCGCGGTGCCCCTGCACGCAACCGGGGGAAGCGACGACAATGGGTATAGAGGTCGAGGCAGGGTTTTGTCGTGGTTGTGTTGCGTTTGTCGGTTGTTGTTGTTGTGGAGGAGGAGGAGGAGGTGGTGGTGGTGGTGGTGGTTGAGAGAAAGGTGGACCTTGTCGTAATTCGTGAACGGGGAGAGGGAGGGTCAAAGGGTCCCGTCACCACCTAGCCTGACGTCGAGTGGACCTAATGCCCAAATCGAGGCTGACAGAGTGTCGGGTTGGTAGATGGATGTGTGTAGAGTGGAAGTGAACCAAGAGGGGAATGGCAGATGGGAGCGCGTTCCGCTCGGTCCTGTCGCGTAAATGGGTGGAGCCGCGACACGATGAAATCTAGAGGTACAGTATGTACATAGGTTCCTGCCGGGACGAATGCGAGTTTGGCGTTGGCGTGCGTGTTCTGGCGTCTGGCGTCAAGGGCACCCAACTTCACCGTTCATGCAGGGTGCGCTGCGTAGAGTGTCAGCATGCAGCCAGACCAACACCTGGGCGGAAGATGATTGTATGCTTCGTTGCTTTCGACTCTCTACAACGCTTGCCCGCAAGTTCGAGATCCCGTCGGACGTCGTAAAGTGCAGGTAATGGAGGGTTCAGACTGTTCCAAGTGGCAGAGTGGGAAGCTCGAGGTTAATGGGCTGGTGGAACTGACGCGATGTGGGGTGCGCTGGCGCCTTGGCGGTTCGCTCGTTCCCTTCTTAACGACCAGACCAGCTTAACGCGCTGGGGCACGTGC